GCAGCACGCGGCACACTATATATTCGAGGCGAAATTAGAAAGGATTGCCTCCTGGCCTATAATGACGTCAGCCGATTAGAAAACGCGGCGGCGCGCCGTTTTGCGCTCGATGTCTGTCTGTGTGTGCGCACTCTCATAATACGAGCCAGCAAGATAGAGAGAGAACCAACAAAGCGCGCTGCAGCTCTCACCGAGTCCTTGAACCTCCATTTTTCTAATAGGTCGACGAACTATCATTGCTCGCTCATTTCTAATGGCACATATAAGTCGTCGTCGTCGTCGTCGTCGTACGGCTGTCGTTTTTTTTTTTTTATAATGCCCCAGTGTCTGCTTCTGTGTGTCTCTTTCTTCGAGCGAGCGAGCAAAAAAAAAAGGAAAAATAAAAGCGCGTCATTATGTATGTAAGTGGCACAACGCATGCTCCAACTAACGCGTTTATCAGGCCATTTAAAAATCGATCGAGCGCGCGCGCGTATACACCGCAACGTAACATTATAATTAATTAGACGCACACGAAAATTGGCTCGTTTTTACGACTGCTCTTTTTTCTTTCCTACATTATATATTATACCCCAAATATGCATCCAGCGATTCGTGTTGATCACGTGATTTTTCTTTTTTTTTTACGTTTGCGAGTACGCGCATGAATGAAAAAATCGCGTCGCCCGTATTATAACTCCGATTGATAAACTCTTGTACGAGCAGCTCCTAATCTCAATGACCCGACGTCGTTCGGGGATGCGACGACGCGATGTGCACATCGTCGAGAACTTCACTTTTTTCTCTCTCCTTTCTATTATTAATTTGAAGTAATCGTCGCAGTGACGAAATTTAAGTAAATTATTTTTTTTTCCGTGTCATTCGCGACGAGATATATCGCCGCACAAATTTCTCGGCGATTCGGAGCCTATTTATCGACCGGTTCCAAAAGTAACAAATATATCATATCCATAACGCGCTCGAAATCGAAGGCAAGTCGCGGAAAAATAAACGCGAAAACTGTCAAAGCTCGCGAGCGAAGTTTAAATTTAGTCGCTCGTTCGAAATCCGTCACCGATGATATAGAAGATAGGCGCGGATTTCGACACGAACGCGAGTAACGATCGTCGCGTGTATTTACGTAGGCGCGCGGCGATTCGTTGTTTTTCCATAATTTTCATGGGTAATTAAACAATATCGTCGTCGCTCCGCGGAAAAGCTGTCTCGACTGTCAAATAAATTATTCTGGGCGACGGTATATAAACCGCGATCTATGCTGCTGCTGCAGCTGCCGCTAGCTCCAAGAATACGAGACGCCCGCGCGTGGATCGTCCCGGCTCGTACGAGAGAGATATTTCCAGATGTTTACTCTACACACCTCGAGGCGTAGTAGTAGTACACGGATCGTATGCAGTGCAGTGCCACTAGGGTGTCGGTTTCCGCTGCGGATCGAACGCGCGCATAGATTTACGTAATATTCGCAGGCACGTCGCGGATGCCCGATCGTGAGCCAAAAGTTCGCCGAGATTCGCGAGTTATTACGTATATATGCGTATTACGGTGGCGTTTCGTGATTTGGCACTTTCACGCCTCGTTGTACGTAGTTACAGCTTGCGAGCTTGCACATCGCGTACGCGAGATTAACGCGAGTTAAAAATTAAAATAATACAATTTCGTAAGTTAATCGGCGGCGGTGGCGGCGACGCATTATTATCAATCGCTCTTGAGTGTATAATGTTTAACGCGCGTATATAAAACAAACTCGCACACAAATTACTATATCATACGGGCCCAGATAGCGCGAAAGAGAGAGAGAGAGAGAGAGAGAGAGAGAGAGAGAGAGAGAGAGAGAGAAAAGTCCACCATCGCACATAGCGGCAACGCAGAGCGATTATTGCGCTGCTGCTGCTGCACACACGTGTTTGACGAGAAAGTAAAGTCGTCGTCGACGGCCCCCGAGAGTCGTACTCGCCGCGCGTTATATTTTTGCCTTTTATGCGCTCTATATACACACGCGCGCGCGGCACAGCGAAACGCTTCGATGCTTATTACGGTGGGTATATAGCACCTACCCAAGTGTGTATACGCGATGTGTTCCGACTGACTCTCTGCGTGTGCAGCAGCAGCACACGGTGTTTATATCGCGCGAGGCATAAAAGCCCCCCCCAATGACGTCAGTAAAGACAGGTAGATACTTTTTTTTCTTTACTCTCTTTCTGCGTTGCGTTTCTTTTATTTTATTTTTTTCCCCATCGTTTCCTTCTTTCCTCTTTTTTGTTGTTGATGTTGCTGTTGTTGTTGTTGTACGCGAGCAAAAAATATATATAAAAGAAACGTATCGAGAGGCCAGCAAACTTGAACTTTCTAAAGTCAAATTTGTTCTAATTTCCATTGGTATCGCCTACCCAATAGCTGATTGGCGCGTGGCTCGCGAGCCCGCGGACGATATCATATTCAAATTTCGATGTAGATTCAATGATTTACGATTATAATGGTAATACCCAAAATCGAAGTTACAATTTATTTTTTCGAAAACGTAGGTTACCAAAAAGCTCAAAAAAGCTTCGTGGCGTACATAATAGTCACACACTGCGTATGAACATTGAAAATATTCTCACTTTGTATCTATGTCGTTTCTGTACTATACCTACCTCTCTCGTGCCATCGCTTATACACATCGCAACTAAAACGATCGGAGATGGAGCTTTTTTTATGTATATATCTCTCTCTCTCTCTCTCGGGCGCGCGCTAGAAAGAGAAGATGAGCGCGGACGATTCGGCCAGCGTCTATATACAAGCTGGCACACTGCATCTAGTACATAACGTCAAAATGTCAGTACACACACACACACACACACACACCACTAGATCTATAAATGTGTGTATCGTGTACGTACATAACAGCAGCGGCAGCAGCAGCACATGGAGTCGCGCTCGCAAAATGTTTCCATGGGAAAAGTGCAACGGCTGAGTTGGCAGGCGCCTTCACGGGATAATGGGTTTACAAAGCGTAACAAACTCTCGGGCGCGCGCGCGAGTTCTCTCTCTCTCTCTCTCTCTGTAGTATGTGCTATGTAGCGTACTTAATGGCGCGAGAGAGAGAGAGAGAGAGATAGGTCAGAAAGAGAAAGAGAGAGATGGGCAATAAACATACGCCAAGATAAATGGCTCTGCGCGCTAGAGGTCTTCACTGCACCCTCGCTCTATAATATACACACACACACTCACTCGCAAATGTACATAAAACGTTTATACGTGTGTTTGTGTGTGTTATTCTAAGGGCGAAAGTGTTCAAGTCCGAGCTTTATATTATACGTATTGTGCAATGGACGAGAGAGAGAGAAAGAGAGTATATATATAATATTTATACATCGTTGGCGGATTGATTTTGCGCCTAGCCATAAACGCCAGAACAGAAAACACGAATTACCCATACGCGCGTGTGTGTATAATATTTACTCACAGTCCCCGCGGTATATATACATAATACTGTAATATGTGTGAGATGTCGGACTATTACTGTCTTTATCTACTTGCATCGTACTCGTAGTGTTTCTTTTTTTTTTTTTTTCATGCACGTGTGTACGAGTATGACCGCTCGAAACTTGTCCGTTTGTTTTCCCTCTCTCTGATTCTATACCTTTGAGCAATGATCTCGCTTTGCCTTTTTGTAGTACTACTTTACCTTTGCAATATGCGCGGCGGCGGCGGCGGCGGCTACACGACGTCTAGACGCCCTTCTCGTCTGGTACGCTGCGCCATGTGCATTCAGCGATGATTTCTCGGAAAAACATTTCGTTTTCTCTCTCTCTCTCTCGATCGCGCGGGGCCCCGTACACACACACGTAGAAGAAGTTTGAATAATTCAATATTATATATTGCGGATAGATTTATTGTACGAAACATTTTTATTATTATCATGCAGCCTCGCAGTGTGTACACGCCACGCGAGTCTATTACATGCATCTCGAGTCCCGTATCTATCTCTTACTCTTTCTCTTTCTTTTCGCCGATACTACTACGGCTGTGTGTTGTGTACTCGCGATTGTGTCTATATGTGTGTTATATAGAGCTCCGAGATATAGGTGTATACACACACACACGCATGACACTTTATTTGATGATCTCAAAATCCTCGTAAACTGACAATAACGATGTATTATATCTCTTTCTCTCTCTCTCTCGCGCGTATAATTCCACGTGTACAGCCGCCTTTATATTTTTTATATATCTATACACAGAGATACACAACGAAAGAGTAGAGAAGAAGGAAAAAAATCCCTAAGCACCCCCCGAGACAGGACTAGGGATATTTATCACGGGGCCTGTATATATACAAGTCGGGGGGGCTTCCCGCTCGGAACTTCCGATATATATAGACGCAACGACTGCGCAGCAAAAATCACTAATCCGTTAAGCCATAGCTCGCATGTAGTCTCTGCAGCTGCTGCAAGTATATACATAATAATGTACGGGGCAGATCTTATCCGTCCGGCCGTGTGTTGTACTACTACACGCGTCGATGAGAAATAAAGAGGTTATTCGCAAAAATACTCCCGGGTAACTAACTCGTCTTCTTTATTAATGGATATCAGGTACTGGAGGAGCAGAGAGATCCTCCCGTGTAATATTTTTTGTCCCGACTGCACACTTTGTCGAATATATGTGAATAAACGCGAGGATTCTCTACGTGTGTATGTATCATCGTAATTATCTTAATTCTGCCTTGTTGTTTCGCTCGAGCGGATTAACTTTTTTTGTTGCCAAGAGTATAATGCGTTATGTTTTTCGTGTAACGTAGACGCGCTACCGTGTGTGCAGCTCCCACGAGCTCGTTTCGCACTTTCTCTCGCGCGCACTACCGCAGGCGTTGATGATATTATATATGCTTTATCCGTTACGACGAGTGTTACACTTATTTTTTTGTCGCCCTTTACATCGTCATCGTTGCAATTTTATATTAAAATTATGTATACAATTCGATGTAAACAATTGGGATATCGTTTTTTGTTTTTGCACAGATGCCGCAAACGGTACCGCAAGTGGCAGCGGCGAGCTTCTCGCCGGCCTTCGACTACAGCGCCTTCCAGTTCGATCTGTCCCTGCTGTCGGACGATTACTCCAACAGCAGCAGTCCCGCGATGTCGTTTCAACAGCAGCAGCAACAGCCACAGCAACCGCATCAACAGATTCATCATCATCTACATCATCATCATCATCATCATCAACTGCCGATGTGTCAGCCACAGCAGCAGCAGCAGCAACAAATACCACAGCAACAGCAGCACAATCGATCTCAACAATTGTGCATGAGCCATTTACACGTACCACCCGGCGGTGGAGGAGAAGGAGGAGGAGGAGGAGGAGGTGGGTTAAAACCTCCACCGCTGACGATGCACATCAAGCAGGAGGCTCGCTCGCCGAGGCCGGGCTCGCCGCCGATCTATCACCCGAGCAGCGGCACACCCTACAATTGTTTAAGCGCCGGTGGTGGCGAGCAGCTGTCGCCCGGCTACTCTCACAACGCCTCGCCGGCCTACCCGACGAGTCCCTATTACGTGCCCCAGAGTCCGCAGAGTGCCCAGCTGTATCCGACGAGTCCGGAGCCGGCGAGCACCACCACGACCAACAGCAATGGTACAATTTTATCCGCGTCGTTGCAAACGCAGACGTCTTGCCCAGCCAAGCAGCCCATCAAGAGGGAGAAGAGCTTCGATTTGCTCAGCATACTGCACGAGTCCAGGTGATTACTTTTCTTTCGATCTATTTTTTTATTTTGAATGAATTCGGTAGAAAACTGGATTTTTACGACAACTGCAAATTGATACGGACACAAAGGTTGATCGATGATTACTGATCTCAAAAAACGAACAATGAGAGATATACAAATCGCTTGTCAAGCGATATTATTAACATACGCGTTATTCGACCGGTTCGACGCAAAGCGCTAAAAATAGAATTGAAATTCCACGCCTATAATTTTTTTCCCATACACATATGCGAAAAATTAAAAGTCAAAATTCCCTCTTCTTTTTCGTTCGCACGGCAGACTGCTGGCCGAGAGTCTGGGCTACAAGGAGGAGTCGACGGACTGCACGGTCCCCTGCACGCCGCCCCGCACCGAGGAGGACATCTACAACAGCCTCGACGCCGATTTCTTCCCGAACAAAAAGTCCGCCACTACCTCCGCCGACGCTGCTACGGCGACAGCGGCGGCCGACGCGAATCCGCTGCTCAAGGAGATTCTCTTCAAAGACAGCAACAACGCGTCGACGAACGCCTGCCTGTCGCCCACGATAAGCTCGTCCTGCTGCGTGTCCTCGTCCGCGTCGTCGCCCTGTTCCTCGTCCGCCTCGATCGCCTCGTCGCCGGCGCCCCTGCAAGTGCTCGATTACGAAAAGTCGTCGCTCCGAGATCTGTTGTTTTGTAACAATAACAACAACAACGTCAACAACAATAATAATAATAATCACAACAACAACAACAACAACAACAACAACAACAACAACAACAATAGCAATAAAAATAACAACAGCAATCGCAACGTCAAGGAGGAGGAGGCGACGAAGCAGCAGACCAAGGACGATCATCAATTGCTGCGCGAAGTACTGAGGGACATGAGCTTTCAACGCAAGTACAACCTCCGGCCGGTCGATTTACCCGGTACCACGATCACGAGTAACAACAACAACAGCGGCAACGGATACGCGGACGAAGAGATGCCGCAGCAGCAGCAGCAGCAGAACGTCGTCGAGTCGAACGAGTGCGTCGGCGACCTGGCCCGGGAACAGATCGAGCCCGTGCTCAGCCTGGCGATACAGCAGCTCCAGAAGGATTTCGACAATACGTGCGTGGCCCTTGGAATACATCCCGGTGAGTTGAGTAATAATCGATACATAAGATTTATAAAGCCGCGACCTAAAACTTGAACTTGCCGCGTTTGCTTTGTACGCGACATTGTAATACATAATCCGCGCGAAACGGAGAGATAGGCGAAGTGAACAAAAAAAAAAAAAAAACTAACCCGCAGCTATTGTCGGTCGGCTGTGCGATGTGTATAATAAGCACAATCTCACTCCCGCGAGCGCCTAACAACGTTTTCTTCTCTCGCGCATATAGCTAGCTAACACACAGTAGAGTCGTAGAACTCGAAATATATATAAATCGTAATATCTGCCTATCGTTGCGAGTCATCTCGCTCCGAAGTGATAGACTTCGTGACTGTGTTATATATACCTCCTGCCCGTGCACTGTATGACTGTTTAGAAACAAGAGCACGGGGCGTATCGACGTTTAAAAAAAATAAACGATTCTTACTATATATAGCTGCATTTTTTTTCTCTTCCTTCTTTTGCGATCGCTCGCCGAAACTCGCAAGGTCGCGTTGATGAAAAAAAAACAGAGATACAGCAAAGTAATAATTCATTTCTTTTTTTTTTGCATGATTTTTAATAACAGAGCCACGACACTGGAGCGCGGCGGACGTCGTGGCGTGGGTGCACTGGGCCAAGAAGCAGCTGCAGCTGCCGACGATGCCGCTCGAGAGCTTCAACGGTATCGACGGCGCCACTCTGGCCTCCTTCAGCGAGGAGGACTTTTGTCAGAGAGCTCCGCAGGTAAGCGCGCGCCTGATGATGTTTATAATGATATACGAGTATTACGCGACGAAGATCGAGGCATTGCCACGTGAAAAAAAATTAAAAAAAAAAAAAATTGAACGGAGCGAAATAATCCATTAGTCTTGAGCGAACGGTGTAACGGTACACACGTGCCGCGCGGAAAATGTATATAAACAATGGCTGACGCGAACACGACAATCAATGAAATGATTTGTCGGGGCGGTGTTATAGAGAGAAGCCCATAGTGTAATAACGCGGAGTACATGATTTTCCGTATAGAGTGCAGCTATAGGGATCGAGGTCTCTTGTGACACGACTACCGTATACAGGCGCTTATATTTGCCGATAATTAAAACTCTCGCTCGTGTACTTTTGCAGCTTTACTGCTATATAGTATATACTTTGTATATATTGTATATAAACGCGATTCGCATGAGAATCGACCGCAAACATTATGAAAACACAACGCGATCCGCAGTACTGCGGCGCGGAATGAGCTATTAGGTCTATGTGGCTTATTACTCTCTCTCCGTACACAGCCTCTCAGCTGTCCATCTGTGCACTTCGGAAACATCTTGTATCGACCTTATATATCCCCGGCTTATTTGTGTGTGTGTGCGAGCCTGTGTACACACTATATCGCATAAAGCATATCACAAGTGTGCGAAAGTCATATCGTATATACATGTGTATATGCAGAAACTGCACAGTCGAGGTGGGCTCCATATAATAAGCCCCCTCGCGCGCGCGCGCGCGTGCGATTTTCCTTAAGTGGCGGGTATGCGTATACGTATACATATAAGGCCGTATACGGGGGGATAAATAATCGCGATCCATAGCGAGGGCGCCCCATTAAATCGAAATTACGCTCCGTTTTACTCTCTCTCTCTCTCGCGACGTACTGTGTCGCGTTCCGATCCGCGAGTTCGCCGCAGCGATACATATATAGCATGTGTGTGTGTTTACATCTCTTTGGCTTTTATTATTGGTGACGATCTCGTCTGCCGATCGTAATATACAACAATAACGTGTATTTTTATGTATACGTCGAAAATTGGAGCGTCGAAGGCTGCTGCCGCTGCTCCTCCTCTTCCCTGGATAATTCGAGCTTTTCGGAAAGAAAGAGAGATTATACGAGTTGTTGTTGTTTTTTTTTGCTCGGGCGATGATCTCGCGCGCGCGGTAATTTGTATGGGAAAATGTCTCAATCGATCGATAATCGGTGTATATCTGTTCTTTCGGACGTTTCCACGAAGGCGAAGTTATACCGCGGTACAGCGCGCTAATTTGTAAAGCGAAAATTTGTAAACGCGGGCTTTTAAACCCGTGCAAAGTGCGCCAGGCGCACTTTCTCCATTAAAATATTTCCGTCGTCGTCGCCGCCCAAGTCAGCTGTTGCCGTTGCTGCTGGTATAGTCTCGCTCGGAGTCGTAAAAAAAATATCGCATTATAATAAACTCGTACACGTATCGAGGGTGTCGAATTCAATCAAGTCGGCATACATACGCGGCGGCGGTAGATTTATAATATAGGCGCGCGGGTGCTAAACGTTGTATATACGATATAATACAATATTATTATATTGTTTAATCGAGGCGCGTACTCGATAACCTTCGCTTTTGTTATCGCGGCTACCATATACACACTTACTGCATATACGGCAGCGAAAAGCCATGTTCGTATACGCGAGGCACGCCATGAGAAGAATGAAAATAAAAAAATAAAAAAAGAGTTGTAAAAAAAAAAAAGGAAACAACACAACTGACGAACGATCAATATACAGCTATATACGAGAGAGAGAGAGTAACAGAGTAAAAGAGTAAGAGAATGAATTGCAACATAGGTACAGACACACACACACACACACAGATACATAATAGAGCGAGGGCGAGAATGTCTCGGCCGTTCACAAAGTAAATAAATCTCGCGTTCGAATAACAATGGAGGCAAAAGAGCTGCTGCGGCGAATTGTGTGTGTGTGTCTGCTCCTATATATGTACTGGGCGCGAAGAAACGATAGTCTCTCGTCTATATAATATTCATGCGCGCTAGGCATGACGCGCGCGAGCGACGTATAACTATTATACATGTATAATATAGGACTAGCAGTGCAGCGCGTACTCTGCGCAGTGTCGGCGTTGAATTCACCCGCGCGCGAGAGAGACACGAGCCACCTCCGCTATACGGCTACGGCACTTTGGCTACTTATATTATAACTCCGAGTGCTGCTATTACATCCATTCCTTGCATATAACAACGAGAATTCGTTTATATACGCACACACACACAGGCATCAAGAGAGAGAGATATATCGTTAATAAATCGCGCAAGCATGGCTCGCGTTGTGTATAGCTGCCATGCTACTACTATACGGCAGTCTCGTGTATACGTATAGTTAATTGTTTCTCGCGTGCGCGCCGCGTCGAGACTTTTTTGCGCGCCCCGTTGAGAGACAGAGATTACGTCGATCAAGCGTGTGCTCGAGCTAAAGAAAGAGAGAGAGAAGTGATTAACCGATTTTTGGGGCCGCAGCAGCGGCCGATTGTTGTAAACGAGAGAGCCATATCGCGTGGCACACATATATAGTATACTTATGAGCGCGTATATTGGTACTACCACGTATTAAATACGATCGTTATAATGCGCTCGCGCGAGGGATATATTTTTTACCAAGGATTATACGAGCCTAAATGCGAGCGACTTGTGTGTGTGTGGCATTGATAAAGCTGTCGCGCATTATTACATGTATAGAGGGATAGCTGCACTTAGAAAGCATTATTGTTTCGCGTCGCGTTTGCTTTATGCCGTTGTAAACGAGCGCGCGGGCCTTTTGTGTCGCGGTGTGTTGCCCAAACGTTGTGTGCACCCATAATGTGCGCATGTGTGTGCCTTTTTGTTGCCCTCCTGATCGATTCGTCGTTATACATTTACAAGTTCGTAAAAGATCGAGCGACTCTTAAACGATCGCACTCAATTTATATAATGTCGAATTTTTACCACCCTGGTAGAAATTTGCAACGTTGATAACGGATTAATAACTTAAAAATGCACTCTGCAGTACATTTCTATTGAATAATTGGTTTGTCTTCGACGACCAATCTCATAGCTTATTTTGAATGATCCGAAAATGACAATCGAATTGCTTCAAAACATTTGGACCAGGTTTAAAGGGCTTGAAACTGTTGCTGCTAGGTGGCGAGTAGCTTCATCTATAAATCTGCAAGTGGCAAAGTCAAAATAATTGTATATAAGTCCCATCGAAAAATTTCTCGAAAAACTGGTCCAATTTTCAGTTAATATATTAAAACTATCGAAAAATGTAGATCTTTCTTCTTCGACATGCCAATTGACTGTTTCTCGCAAGCTTTTCAACTTTGCCAAGTTGATTTGACCATAATGTTCGATATAGCCATCACCGTGGAAACTAACGTCTGATTCCTTGTCGGACATGTCGTAACGCGCACCCGGACAGTTTACAATTCATTCTAATGTTCGAAATGAATGTATACAAAGGCATCACGCGCGATCCTCAGTTTCATCATTTACCTCGCGCACAAAAAACTATGTACACGCGTGTGGCGAGCTACAAAATCCCAATTCGGCGAAAGATCGAACATATCTGGTCACCAAAAAAAAAAAAAAACGAAAAGAAAAAAAGGTCGAGCACCGCGAAACCGCTAGCGAACGATGATACGCCGTCGCGCCACTGCCATAGTTTATTACATGCATACCGAAGGAATTGCGCACCCGCGTAAAGCTCTCTGCTACGCGCGCCGATTCTTTCCGCGCTGAGCTGGCTATAATATTCGCGCGCTGAGTGTGCCTCGGTCGGTTGCGGTGAAAGTGAATTTCCGGGAAATCAGATCGAGCCGCTATGACGTCTTTCCTTGGGTCGCGCATACATATACCGTATACGTATATGCGCGCGATGTTTATATACCGATCCTCGCGCGTCGATCGACGCACGCCGCGGAATGCATACGAGCTCGGGGCCCGAGCCTGGCCATTTTCGCTTTTTCTCTTTCTTCGCGGTTATAGTATACGTGTATGCATATTTGGGTTATACCCAAAAACTCGCGCTCTCGATGTGCATAATTAGTACCCGCACTTACATAATAATGCTGGCCCATATTTATTACTACACGCGTACAGCTACGCGTCTTTTTTCGTGGGTACGTGAACTACTTATGTATGAGCGATCGAGATGCGCAATCGTTTTTACGTTACGACGCGATTAGAGAGAGATGCTGCTGCTGCCGTAGATCGTGTATGTTATACGAGCGGACTGCATCCACAAACACGGGAGTTTCGCAACATTTCGAGCAGCGCAAGTACTTTAACAGTAAATAATAGTTCATAAGAGATATTAAACACGCAATATATATACTATATACGTGCCTTGAAATCGCATACTTCCAAGTAGGTCGCTGAACTTGTATATTATATATAGTGCACACACACACACACACACACACACACACACACACACACACACACACACACACATAAAATAGAGTGAGAGAGAGAGAGAGAAGGCAATTATTTTAGCAAGGAATGATGAAATGCGCTGGGGTAATAAATTCGCTTCACTGATCCTTTTCAGACAATATGAGCGACGTACACACTTACACGCACGTTGATCAATGGCGTCGAAAGAACCGATCGCGAACGTTAATTTTCAATAATTTATCATAACACAAAAGTGCTCACAATCGACTGTACTGTATTTATACATTATATACACATTCTCGCGCGGCGTCGGACGACGAGCTGGAAAAATTTCGTTACACGCGCGTCGGACAGCGTGGGTATATGCAACATCCCCGCGCGATTCGAATGAAAGAAGAAGAAGAAGAAGAAAAAGATGCGCGTCTATACGCAAGAAAAGTGCGTCTACTCATCCATCGGTGCGGGTCTATGTGTATAAACAGCTCGAGCTGAGCCAATCTAACTCGCGTTGACGGCTTATAATACGCATAGTAGTAGGTAACGGTCCATCGCGCGCGTACCGATCGGTATACGTGCATATGACGACTGCTGCCGATATGTGTGTCACACCGATACACACTCGTACATACGCACACACACGGGCAGATATGAATGAAATTCGCAGCCAGTTCGACCAGTCGGACACACTGCATATTTTTATATACACACACATACACAATTCGACATCCGAGCTCGCTTATGCGCGTCGTACATAGAGTGTTATGTGTGCGCCTACTATATAATTGCCATCGATGATCGAAACCCGCGCGTATATACCGATCTAATTATTCCGCGGCAGAAATCGGCTGCTCGGTTTTTTGTGTGTTTTACGTTTGCGCGAGCTATCCCCTCGTGGCAGCGTTGGCTTATAAACACGGAAAAGGAGAGAGAGAGAGAGAAAAAATCGGCATCGTTTCGTGATTTAAGGAGGTCACAGACGTGTATAAATCCGTCGATTTACCGGCGTCCGTGCGCCACTGTGCATTATTATATCGAGCCTCGACTCTTTCCCTGTCTCGTGAAAAAAGCCCTAAATGTTCCTCTGCTCGTGTGTTCACGTGTGTGTGTGGGTGTCAGTCAATCCGAACAATATATACGTACACGCATATAAAACGATGCATATCGTCGTTGCCGCCGACGTCGTATTTATAAACACGTACACAAACACTTTGGAGGTCTGTTTTTTTCTCTTTCGCTCTGCGATATAGGTGCTGTTTCTCTGCTTCTGCGCGTTCGAGTAATATATATATAATGCATCGCGTTGTGTGCGATCTCGGACGTGGAAAGCAGCAGCAGCAACAGAATCAGGAAGTGGGTCAGCAACACGCGTAAATGCAGACGACGACGACGACGTGTCTTGGGCTGCTTTCTCCGCGCGGCGCGGAGCGTGGCGGGTAATATAGCAGGCCGATCGCAATACGTATCCAGAAATTCTAGAACTCGCGCGAATCGAGTCTCTTTCATCAACTGCGCGAGTTATATACTTTTTTTTCTTTTAACTTTGTTTTCTGCCCTTCGAGACGTCTCGATTTCCGTATACACGCGTCTCTATGCATGGACTCGTGCATTCGTTTTTTACATGACTATGACTCGAAAATACGAACCCCTCGCCGCTTTTCGATTTTACCGATTTTCGAGTTTGAATCCGAGTGAAAGAGAGAGAGAAAAATTGCAATTACTATTAATTTATAATCTCCAGATCTTACGCAAGTGACAGGTACAAATGGAATCGTAATTCGCGCCTAAAAAAAATCACTGCTGAGCTACCCCGAAGCGCATTGAATTACCTGGCAAGTTTGTGTGTGTATGTGTGTACCTTATACATAGGCGCACGTACATAACGTACGTGTGTGTATTTGTGCATTTAGTAATACCGTTACATAACAAGGAAAACTAAATAATCAGTCAATCGATCTCTCTCTCTCCCGCACATAGACACACACACACTTACGGTAAGTTCAATTGAACTTATAAATGTCGAGAGGTTTATCAGCCGATGCAATCTTAATTCTACAATGACTGTTTTGACACTGTATTATATATAAAACCGTCGAGAGAGTCGAGAGAGCAGCAGCGCAGCACACGACGCGACGCTGCGCGCGCGCGCGAAAGGGGGTAAATTTAGCCGAGTGACAACACACATATAATGAATATACAAAACAACTGTGGCTGCTGCTGCGCTTTATAAGCGCGAAATTCACTTCCGCGAACGATTACGAGAATTGATTAATCAGTTCGCGTTCGCAGCTTTGAGCATGTGTGTGGCAGCAGCAGTTCTTATTACCGGAGGAAAAATATAATAGATTTATTTGTATTTTTTTTTTCTCTTCGGCGCATATTTATCTTTGAATTTCCACCTTGACGATGTATTATGCTACTACCCGCGCTTAGCTATAGGCCGTCGTTACAATAATAATCGAGAAATTGTAATCGCTCGCGGCTGTTGTTTCATCGCTTTGGTTTTTGCGCGTGCGTCATCGTGGTGCGCGTCGATGATGATCGCGGTCGAGCCTTTTAACGCGACGTTTGCGACGATCGCGCTCGAGAGAGATTCGATATGTACGCACTTTCGTTGCCTAATGAATTTTCGATATTTTTCTTACGCGCGAGCAAAAAATTAGTCACACGCAGCGTAACGAAGGGGGGTTTTTTAAACGAACGAGTCGTGATTCACTCGCCGAGCTGCGCACGCTTCTCCGAAGTCCTGTATTATTAAAACGAGACCACAGATATGCCATAAAAAATACGAGAAAGTCGCGCACGAGAACGAAATACATGCGCACAAAACTTACGAATCGATTTTTTTTTTGTTTCGCGTTGCAGTGCGGCAGTATGCTACACGCCCAACTGGAGATCTGGAAGGCGGCGGTGGAGGAGACGCCCCGCAACTCCGGGGCGCTGGTCACGTCCTGGCCGGCGACGAATCCCGGCCAGGGATTGATGCAGCAGCAGCAGTCGCCGCCAACGTCGTCGTCGTCGTCGTCGGACCCGACGAGAAATTCGCCCAATTCGGTCGGCAGTAGCAGCAGTGCGCCGAGTAGCGTCAAGGACGTGGCCAATCTGACGGATGGTGAGGGATTTTTTCGATATCTTACATCGAATAATGTATATCATTTTAACGATGTAACGTTTTGCGATCGTCGATTCACAGACGAGGACGAGGATCAGCCGATAGCCACGAGTTGTACCAACAACAACAACAACAACAACAATAGCACATCGTCGGGTAGTCCGAGCACAGGTAGCGGCGGCGGTGGCAACAAAATCCGCAGCAGCGGCTCGCACATCCACCTGTGGCAGTTCCTCAAGGAGCTGCTGCTGAATCCCGAGCTCCACGGCACCTGCATCCGATGGATCGATCGCAGCAAGGGCGTCTTCAAGATCGAGGACTCGGTGCGCGTGGCGCGGCTCTGGGGCCGGCGCAAGAATCGCCCGGCGATGAACTACGACAAGCTGAGCCGGAGCATAAGGCAGTACTACAAGAAAGGAATCATGAAGAAGACCGAGCGCAGCCAGAGGCTAGTCTACCAGTTTTGCCATCCCTATATTTTGTAAATATGATGATATGTATATTTTAAATACGCTACTTTTACGCCTGTGAATGCGCGCGTTTGTGTGTCCTTAATTGCGGATAAAACTTTCGGAGTCGATCTCCTTCGAATCGTTATAAAAAAAAAAAAAACTAGAAAACGACTCCGAGAGGTGCCGATCTTTTTCGCTCGATATCGCAGCTTCACTGTCCCTCAAAGCTCCGATCCGAGAAGGAGAAAATTCAAGTTGAAAATAAAAAAGTATAGACGCTCCAAAGAGAGGTGAGAAAATCGCGCGATCGCGAGGCTAGATCTGACGCGAGATCGAAATCGTCCCCGCATCGTAGTACGTGGGGGTTCGTTCGTTCGTTCGTTCGTTCGTTCGTTCGTTGATGGAAAAATGTCCGTCTCGCGCGCGTTTGCAGAGAGGCCGATAAGAGCCGAGAGATTTTTAAAGCGAGCTTATTTTCGTTTTCTTGACGCTTGACACTTTTTTGCAGCCGACTTTCGGTTTACGTATACTATACTACCTCGAGACTTTTGTGGGAACTCGTGGAAGGAATTTACAATTGAAAAACTGCAGCAGCTGGTTCTGTTAAAGATTTTCATTTTTTAATCGAATAGTACTGTGATTATAAATTAATCGATACGAAATTCATCTCTCACCTCTACTGCTGCAAAAAAATAATCATTTTGAATGATCGTAGCGCGAACGAACGACGTTCGTGTTAAATGAAGAAGGGATCGGGGCGACGTTTGGTCCCAAGCTTAAACCCTGTATAAATGTTCCGTAAACTATAAATAATACATTAAATATGAGCTTAGTAAAAAAATGTTCGATATTCCTCTACACTTGTTAAATTTGACGAAACAAATGTTGTATAAAGAACTAATTTATATTACCTATATTTTAGATTCGTCGAGAGTACTTGATAAAAAACTCTCTCCGGTAAACGATCATTGCGCCTACTATGTATCACTATACACAATGTTTTTTGTAATACAAATTTTAACTTGTAATACGTCGTAAGCGATATAGCGATTGCTACATTATTTTTTTTTTGTAATATTTTACGTAAAGACCTCTCGATGGTACTAATATTGCTCGCTTGTAAATAGTCCGATCTTTTACGCTTCGTAAGTTTTTTTTTTATGATAATGAATCTCCAGCCTAGTTTAATATTAATTAGTTCACTAAGCCAACACATGCATCTTGCGCTGAATGTATTTTTTCAACCTATATTGTGATTAGATATTACGAATAATTTTTAAGCTACACGATCGAGTAACCAGGGCTTCCAACATTCCAACCTTTATATCATACGAATAAAATACCTCATAAAGATCTAAAGATTTCGCGCTAGATAGATGTAATTTAAATGTTAATGGTTTCCTCAATGTGATGAACGAGTGTATAGAAAATTTAATTCCTTTTTTGTGCAAAATTGCGTACCAACACGTTCGTGAAAAAAAATGTAAGTGTATTTTTGAACGAACGAGTAGAGCGAAAATTGTGTGAAAATAGCTGTGTATATATCGACCAAATAGTCCTTAAGATTTTTATTGTTGATCGAGTGCGAGTCGAATGTGAGTGAGCTTCGAGTTTCTTGTAATACGCGCATACACACGTACGCACATCGTTTCGTATGGATTCGAATTTTTTTCTGGTTAATACCGAATGCAAAAGTTTCAAAATTGAATGGCTAAATTTTATCGACGGCAAAAAATGATATTGTGTAACTTCCTTCCGAGCGACGATTATTCTGTTAGTTTTTTTCTCCCTATATTTTTTTGTTCATAAACGATAAAACACATAGATGGAAGAATCGTTACGTACCTGTGTATGCGCAGTGGTAAAATGAAATCACGCTAACATATATTTTTTTAATACCGAATGACGTTTTACGAATAATTATGAAATTTAGTCTTAACACTAACTATTTTCGGACAAAAATATTTTAATAAAAATACGTAAGTAAAATAAAACGAAATGGTTTTATCATTATTTTAACATTCATCATTCTACTTTATTACATTGTCACCAATTACGCTTTACAGATCAGGCCTTGTATTCATACAGCAATACAGTATATCCAAAAGAAAAAAAATCGGTACATTCCAGCTGAAGGCTTATCCGAATCCAGACTCTCTCTCTCTCACTCTCGTTTCGGTGTGAAATTTATAAAGATAGACTCGCAGGACTCGGTGATCTCTCTCTCTCGCACATATACTTGAGCTTGGTGCTAGTTTTCGCGCGCGCTTGGACGGCGCGCAGTGCAGCGGTGGGCGTCGCCCCCATCGACGTTTGATTTACGACGTTTTAATCGGACAATTAATCTAACACCTTGTTGTAACAACACCTCCCCCTTTCTCGCGCGCGCGTCCACGAAACAGCTTGAGCATATAATGCCGTGTGCGCTGCGCGAGAAAGGGGGAGGCATGGGAGTCGCGTATACACGCGCGAGCCGATGATAATATATATAAATACATGTAATATAATAAAAAGGGATAAAGGACGAGCGAGAGAGGCGCTGCTTATATATACCAAGGAGCGTAAGGAGATAAAAAGGGGCAGCTACAACAGCGGTTCGGTTCGGCGCAGGTAGATCATCGAGGGCGAAAAGGGCGGGCGGAGAATGTGTTTATACTCGCGCCTATGTGCCGCCGCCGACGACGACGACCCGTGAACTTCACCGCGCACCACTCGAGAAGAGGAGCTGTGGTGCTGCATCTCGCATCGCTCGAGATCGATTACGTACACCTATCCTACGCTATACGCTACAGACGAGCCTATGTGTGTGTGTGTGTGCGAGCCTTTGCCGGCTCTCTGTGGCTCGGGCGCGCGAAATATGAATCGCGCAGAGATCGTCGTTTTTTTAGTGTAATGCAATAAAGGTCAATACGGGAATTGGATCTTGGGTGTATATAGATACGCACTGCAGACCGTACAAAAAGATCCAGCTCGCCGATGAAAGTGTATTTATACGTGTAGGAAGCCTCTATACTCGTATATGCGGCTCGAGATCGCGTACATTAACGAGATATTTATATATACGTGCGCATCGCACCTATATACACCTTGTGTAAAGGCCCCTGTGCGCGATCGCGCTGTATAAATATTTTCTATAATGTATTAATACAGCGATAAAACCTTATAGCTAAGGCGATCGCGCGAGGCTCTCGAGTCGTCGTCGCAACAACAACAACAACAGTAACAAAAAATAATAATAATAATAAACACTCGGACGCGCGATGATTTAATACGGAGATATACCGCTATGAGGCAACTTGTAATAGGGGTTGTTTATTAAAGGCCGCTCGCGCTGCGGTGTTGTGTGTATACCTATCCTACTATACTCCCCTCCGCCGCGTAGAAAAAATAGCCGCTCGGAGCAGACATTAAACACCTCGGCCGCGCGATCGTGTGGTGTTATAAACGTGGGATATATATATTTATTATTTGTGTGTGTGTGTGTGTGGATCTTCGTTCGGCGCGTTTCTTCTGAACTGTAGCGCGGAGCGTGTAATGTTGTGCGCACCTTGCCCTCGTATTCTCACCTTCTCGCTCTCTCTCGCGCGGAGGAATCATGATTTTAGATCCGTCGGTCCTTTTCTTTTGGAGGACGAGGAGGGAGGGAGCTATGGTCATCGTTTTTAAATTCTGGCTAGATTATTTTTCAATGCGCGCGAAGAAAATCACGAGACCGAGTCCACGCGCGGTCGTGCCTGTGTAATTATATATTCACTTTGATATCTGCGGAGGAGATTGAAAAATTCGAAAATGTGTGCATGTACACTGTGTAAGCGGAATCGGCGCGCGACCTTGACTCTGACCTCGAGTGATTTTCGCAAGGACGCGTTCAAAGTTGAACTTGCCGCTATGGTATTTAATTTTTTGGCGAGCGATTTAGTTTAAATCCAAATAAAAGTTTTGTCGAGCAAAACACTTGATTTTTTAACAAAAAGCTCGCTCAATTTAATTTTGATACTCATCGGAGCTTGCGTCGGAGCAAACGTTCTGCCTTTCTTTTGCGACGTCGATCGCGGATACTATACATCGGACCAATTCAACGACAAGCAGCAGCAGCAACAGCAGTCCAAGAAGCAAAAGCAAAGAATCGAACAATGCGGAAAGCAGCAGCAGCAGCAACAAAAAGTCACGATCGCGTCCTTGACAACTTACGAACTAGCTACATAAGGTATGCACACACGCGCACTGGACACGTTCGCGATCTGTTAAAGGCCACACTCGAACACACTATCTCGAGAGCATTGGAAGGGAAGCGCCCGCCGTATTGTATAATCGTGTGAAATAAATTTTATGGATTATGCATGTACTTTTCCTTACGTCTATGTGCTAAAGCACAACCTGCCACTAATGCATCAGAAATACATCGTTTCACCAAAAATGCTATCTTCAAGAAAAACTCCGCACCAGACGTACCTAGAGCTTGAATTTATTTAACTAACGATGATTGAATTCATTGGTTATCGACGCACTCATAATAAAAAAATTCCCATTTCTGAAAGTGTAAAATAAACCAAACAATGAGTCACATGTAAGAGTTACAATGAATAATTTTTGGTTAATTCGAATAAATTATTTAGAGCAAAAAAGCTTTTTGTGTTGGCGAAAAATTTCATGCTTGACCCTGGGTCTTTTAAAAAATTAAAATCAACCCATTCAAGCCAAAATGAATCAAGTCCGGGACTGACACATTTTTGCTACTTTTTTGAACCGTTGTACTTTGGCTGGAAATGGGGTCTGGAGAACTTGCGAGTAAGCGTATTCTACGCCAAATTTAATGAACTTTCCGAATCTGGTGCCAGATTTTTGATATAACAAACAAGTCAAAAGTTATGGATGGTTTTATAAAAAAAAACAAGATTTCGAAAAAAAATTTTTTCTTTTCGAATTTTTACATGGAAATCTTTTAAATCTTGACGTCTTCGGTACAAATAAAGCGTCCATGGGTCCTTCTCTTAAAGTTACGACGATTCCAATTAGTGAAATATGATTTTAAGCACAAAAAATGGCAACTCGAAAACGAAAATAGGTGAGGAAATTTTTGGAATTTTTAGCTCTTAAGATATTGATCAAATTTAGCCAGGGTCGGATCGACAGAGAGAGAGCTCAGTCCAAGGATTTTTGTTCAATAAAACACTTAGTTATTGCAAACCCAGCCTTTTCTCTTTTTTACCTTGCGTACCTACACGATACAGCGAGGGTTTGTGATCGATCGAAACGCAGTGCGGATCCGAAAACCGAAACCCGGCGTGGATCTGAGTACGAATCTAGCCTCTGCGAGCTTCACCACCGGCCACTAGGCGGCGCATCAACTCCCACAAGCGACGGGACTCTGCCAAGGTACTTGTATAACAATATCTTATATGTATTAGGTAATTGTATGGGTTATGGGTTGGCCTTAAATTTTTCCATAATTCAAATCCAACATAATTAATGTTTAACAATTCAACAATGTTTAAAATTGCCGGATAAGGCAGCGTGTAACTAAACAAAATTTATTAGGCTAGTGGAAACATAGGCGCCTAAAACAAGCCATCAAAACATATACTAATACAGAATAACCGTGCTGCGCACGCGCTCTGCTTGTATTTCCAGAAATCCAAATACATAAACTCTATAAAAGTAAAAAGTTTGTACTACGCTGCTGAACGATTGCTTGGTCATCTGCGACGGTACCAGTTTCAACGGCCAAAATTGTAAGTAGTTTCGTACAAATTGTACAACTGAGCATTTCTCATCGAGGAAAATGTTCGCTAATACCTTGACCATTATGAGAGTCGATTTTTCGATGCTTCGTAAAACCTAAAGGTATTTGAAATGAAGGTTTTTAGATTAATTGTTGAATAAATTATATACGTTAAAATTCATTTAAAAAAATGAATTAATCAAACCTCTCACCAGGTCGTAAACTGATACTGTGTCCCGATTTATGGGCCCGTGAAGCAGATTTATCGGGCAATACTTATATTTGAAATTCAAGCTAAATGGATCAATAAAAAGTAGAATATAAGTCAACGTTGGAAGAGACACGTAGAACCAACTTATCGCCGCCATGCTGGTGTCGTAGTGATGCGGACCAACACCCTCCGTAAGGAAAATACTGTCGAGACACACACGGCACATTTCGGTATTGTAACTCGTCCAAAATCTTTACCACTGGTCGCAAATGTGTGTCGACGCGACGTTCCCAGTCACAAATAAAAAAATGACACCTCTACAAACATTAAGTGATAGGCTTCAGTAAATTAAAAAAAAGACACTAAATATTTGATTGCGTACTTAAAAAAATTTTTCGAAGTGTACGTAAAGCTTTCGTTGCGTTATGTCGTATCGCATCGATTTTGATTGAGACCGCCGGATAAGTAGAGTCATGAGTAAGGTTTTTTTTATACGAAATGATAACTTTATATGATGAAACGAGAATATCATTTCACTTTTTGTACTACATAGTGAAATAGTTAGTTATGAGAATAAATGTTAAAAATCACGTACTGAATTATTAAATAAATATACTCATTTTTGCTCCAAGGCATATTGTAAGGAGCTTTATGCGTATCTCATACGTACGCTCGAGAGGAATATATCGCGCATCGGTCTCTGCACAGCCGCGAAAGAGAGAGAAAGAAAAGAAAGGCACCCCCACGGCAGCGTAAAAAGGTACGTGCCACCTTCTAGCTGCAATAACGCTGCGCACGCGAGTGCTGCATATATATACACTCAAGGATAGCTACATTCTCTCGGCAAAACCAAAATTGCGCTCGAGACTGCAGTTGCCGCTGCTTGTGCCGATGATTAATGACGCTCTTCGATCCTTATATATACATACACCCTTGCACGTGAAAAAAAAACTCTCGAACTCGGCGCGTAAAAATGTCTTCGTTTTAGGAATTGCGCGCGAGTGTGCGTACACGACGATGACGATCAATCAAGGTACGATGAAAAATTGCCGACTTTGAATTGTAATTTTTTGCGCAGCTCGAGAATAACGAGACTATTTTTAAGACGTTTACGCGGGTTTATAATTACACGTACGTGCCGCAGTCGAGAGTGTATATACGCGTCCTTGCCCGACCACCGAGTGATCGACACCGAGGGTCTAACTCATCGGAGCTTTTATTTTCTTATTTTACGATAGTGCGGCCAATCGAATTGCACGCGGGGGCTATTACCGAACGCGGCAATCGCGTCGCACAGCTCGTAAATACATTTCACACTTCTTCTTCTTTGGCGAGCAAACGCGCGGCAACCGATCCGGGTGGTTCAGCCGGTGGATAAAGCGTCGATCTCGGCGGCGTCAGCGGCTTGTCTCGTTTTCGCAGCTCAGTTCCTCTTCTAAATCGCGCGAGTAAGTTGAAAATTCGATATAGTATATACAGACGCGCTCGGGGCTCTCCGCCACCGAGAGAGAGAGAGAGAGAGAAAAAGCGAGAGTGAGCTGCCGCGAACACGAATCGAGCTGAGGGGGTCAGGTGTGCTGCAATTGCGAAAAAGATCAAACACACGTACATATATATCGACGCGACGATTGCTGCCGGTCGTCGTCGTTTTAAAGCGACAGAAAGACGTGCGAATGCAAACATAAATTCAAATTAGCAAAGCAGCGACTTAATGCGTTGTTGCTGCCGCTGCCGCAGAGTAAGAAAGAAAAAAAAAGATCGCGAGAAAGAAAGAATCGCGCGGGGAGCAATTGCTTTGGCGCGCGCCCGCGAGCGGCTAAGTATATATAAGGCCTAATATCGAAGCTCGAAATCACTGGTGCTTTTTTTTTTTGTTCGGTTCGCGCGCGAACGTGTACATATATACACAGCTTCTTCGCTAACTCGTCCAATTGCGCTTCCGATTGATCTTTATTTGTGCCGGCTCTCAACCCCCCGTACGTGTGTGTGTGTAAATGTGTGTACGTGCGGAGGGGGAGGATCGATCCGTTGCTGCGCGCACAGCACCACTCTCATTGCATACACGCGTTCGTCTTTGCGAAACGAGAGTCGATCGAGAGCAATATATTTAGCGGTGAGCCTTGCTTAAAAGCTTTCGATAAGAGGGAGTGAAAAGAGAGAGAGAGAAGCGAAGAATTTTTCGTATCAATCGACATCGCGCGTAAGTCGAAATAAAGGTCTGTAAATCGCCGCTTCGACCATAAGACTCGCGTCGCTGAATTAACGAATTGCCGCTATGACTTTTCGTCGGCAATGACATAATTTATTTGATGACGTATGAATTAGAGTACCTGTTGGATCCGATATGATTAGGTGTGATATCGATCGTCGGTGATAAAATTTGACTTTTTTTTAAATAGCAATCGTAATAAATATCGTTTCTAGAAAAAAATGTATTGATCGTTAGACAAGAGGTAAATCGTGCAATTTTTACGATACTCAATAATAGCTCCGTTTCGATTCGTAAATATTGCTTATTTCAAATTGTCACATCGTCAATTGTAAATATTATGGAATTAATTTCGACGGTTCGAGGGGTAACATTACTACGTGAAGATTAGTCACGCACGAGTTTCCGAGCTAGCAAAATGGATCAATCGCCTAGGGACCTAATCGCCTTTAGGTAATTTTTATATTTTTATAATAGTATTGAATAATGCTAAAACTTATTGGGATCCTTTAGAACTGAAGATGAGATGCTAGGTGAGTTTAAAGAATGTTTCGAAAAACCAAAAACAGTACTTGATTATAATTTGGAATATGACTTTCCAATTAAACAAGAGCCAATTGAGAGTCAAGAATATCCAATAACAGAACTTAATAACAATTTAGAATCTGACTTTCTAATTAAACAAGAGCCAAGTGAGTTTCAAGAATGTAACGAAAACCAAATAACAGTACATGATTATAATTTTGAATGTGACTTTTCAATGAAACAAGAGCCAAGTGAGCAGGACAATATGGAAATTAAAGAGGAAATTAACGACGATTTCGATTATCATGACATATATGGCAATAAAGATTCAAGCCCGCTTCCAGAGTACGACGAGGAGAATGAAGAAACAAGTGAGCTTATGGAGAACATTGAGAATCAAGAAACAAGTGAGCTTATAGAGTACGTTGAGAATCAAGAAACAAGTGAGCTCATAGAGTACGATAAGAATCAAGAAACAGAACTCAATGGCGAAGATCCATCCTCGGACGACAGCAGACCGATGGACCCGATGGATGGTGAGCGACTCGAGTTCGACATTTTACATACACGATTTTCATATTAATTATTGCGATGCCACGTTTTTCGATCGTCGATTCGCAGGCACGAACGAGGATCAGCCGATAGCCACGAGTTGTGCCAACAACAACAACGATAACAGCAACGACAACAACGATAACAGCAAAAACAATAGCAGCGCGAGGACAAAGATCCCCCTGTGGCAGTTCTTCCACGAGCTGCTGGACAACCCCGAGCTCTACGGCAAGTGCACCCGGTGGGTCGATCGAAGCCTGGGCGTCTTCAAGATCGAGGACACGGTGAAAGTGGCGGGGCTCTGGGGTTTGCTAAGGAAATGCCCGATGGATTACGACAAGCTAAGCAGTTTCATGGATCGGTACTACAAGAAAAAAATCATAAAGATCGACCCGAGCGGCGAGTTCGGCCCGGATGTCTTCCAGTTTAGCTCTTGCTATCTCGAATGAACGGTGCGGCCGTTGTGTTTTTATACTTTTAGATATATGTCGTGATTCGTGCTGTAGATTATATAAAGATATACGTATGGAGATGCTTACGTATGTGCGATTTGTGTCCTTTAATTGCGGATAAAACTTTTGGAGTCGATCTCCTTCGAATCATTATAAAACGACTGCGAATGGTGCCGATCTTTTTTGAATTTATACCGAAAGAAGACCGCGACATATTGATCTAATGTATTTTTAAAAGACTAATCTATACATTTTTACATCGTGATATTGTAATAAATTGTAAAAAAAAATCAATAAATTCTCCGAGAAAATCGGAAAGAATGCTTAATTTCAATTAAGCATTCCTCTGCAATAATACTTTGTTCTTGAATTTAAATAAAAAGTGTAATTCTTGCCGTAACACTTTTACAGAATAATTGCTATTTTTACATTAACTAATTTTTATCTTAAAATATCGCCAAAAAAGACTCTCGAGTTTGACCATAATACGAACATTATGATGTGAAGCCGACCGTATATAGAGGAAAATTACATCCGCGTGACGAGCAGAAGCGACAGCCACCAAGCCATTGTGGATAATACAGTCGAAGCCTCAGACGCCAAACAGTGCAAGCATGACATTCGACTGCATTTCAATCCGAGGTAAACATCGTCTGCTCTCGGTTTATTTTGATTTCATTCGTTTTTCAAATACTTTTATAATCCCAAGTTTTTAATGGAAGAGTCTCGGGTATTTAAACGTGACAGCTATAATAAGAACGAGTTTGAAATTGTTTTTTTTGTGTGTACACTGTGCGATTGACGCATTAGAAGCAAGGCAATTTTAAGGTTAAATACAAAAGTCACAGAGTGTCAACAAACAATCGTCTAATCCGTTCTTTATATTTTGTTCTTGCAAGTTAAGGTAGATTCAATTGTTTTTAGGTATCAATCAATGGTTAAAGTGACAATGGAAACCGAGTGCGATCCGCTATGGTAATTTTTCATTTACTCAACAAAAAATGTATAAATAAAAGTGAATTTCGAATCGGAGATAAATACTTTCTTTTTTTCAGCATTAAAGACGAGAATCAATTGGCAGACTCGTGGGTCGATTCGGACGAGCCGCACAACCAATTGACCTCGGAATTCGAGTGCGAAGACGTGAAAATCGGATTAGCCGGTGATTCGCAGCCACTACCCCTACAACGATCGTCGAGCGAGTTTCACTTCGAGACGGTGTTCGTCGAGTGCGTACCCGAAGACGATCTCTTGGAGGAGGCCAGCAGCACCGACCCCATCTGCACGGGCTCGGCTGCAAAAAAGTCCAAGCACACGTGTCAGGCGTGCCTCAAAACATTCAAATCGAGCCACAGCCTGGCCAGTCACGTGGACGCCGTCCACCTCGGCGTCAAGGCCTACGAGTGCGACCTGTGCCACAAGTCGTTCGGCTGGCGGGGCGACGTCAAGAAGCACATCGACGCCATACACCGGGGCCTCAGGCCCCACCAATGTCCCCAGTGCCCGCGCAGCTTCGCCCAGAGCCAGACGCTCAAGCTGCACCACGACTCGGTGCATCGCCGACTCAGGCCCTACCGCTGCGACCAGTGCGACCTCACTTTCGGCCAGAAGAAGACCCTCGTGGCGCATCGGGACTCGCGTCACCGTGGCCTCCGGCCGTACGCGTGCGCCGAGTGTCCCAGGTCGTTCACCCGCAAGGACCTTCTGAGGACGCACGCGAGAACGAAGCACGAGAAAAATTCCGAGAAAGAGTGAGACGATCGGGGAGGCACCGAACATTTATACAATTGTTGTACATATTATACGTTGATCGTTGTAAATTTATTGATAATTCATAGTTTTAACGCTGCGATGCGCTATACAGTCAGTACAAATCTTATTTAAGCAATGAATACCGTCGATTCGGTCAGGATGATCTATATATTTTTGTATCGAATTTTTCAGATCTTCGCAGAAAAAGAATAAAAAGAGTCGTACTATATTTACTTTATCAAAAAACAAAAACTGTTCAAACTCGTTGTCGTCCTTTAGTCCGTATTTTTTTTTTTTTTTTTTTTATCACTATAGATCCTCTTGGGTTCTTTGCTGTTTGTTGCTGCTGCCCACCCAGTTGTGATAAAGTTGAAAGATCACGACGGCCGTGGCCACGGTGACGCTCTTGACCAGACGCCAGAACTCCTTGAATCGTAAAAATTTCATCCCGTCGTCGTCGTTGTCGTCGTCGTCGAAGCGTAATTTCGCGTCGCCACTGACGTCTTGGAAAATATCACCATCGTCGTCGTCGTCGTCGTCGTTCAACAGTAACGACGTCGCGTCGGATTTGTTCGTCGTCCTCTTCGTCTTCGACGACGAGCCGGAGACGAAGTTCCGCTTGAACGTCCAGTAGTTGGGCTGCTTCTCATTGTTGTTGTTGTTGTCGTTCAAGCGCGTCCTCTCGCCGATCGTCAACTCCTTCGTCGACCTCTCCACCGAGTCGATGAAACTCTTGTACGTGATCACCCTCGTTGGCTTGAGCCAATCCTCGGCCTCTCTGCGCTCCTCGGCGAGCCTCCGACGGCAGAAGCTCGCTCCGCCCGGCATCATCCGGATCGTCGTCGATCTCGTCGTAGACATTATTTATACGATTTTTTATTTAGTTATTTATTCCTTTTTTTAATCAAAAAGGATCGCGCGAACGATTGGCAAAATTGTTTGAGCTATATCGCGCACGGACTCGTGTCGTTGCGAGAGAATTCAAATTACTGATCCCATTCGATAATCTCGCTGTTTACAAACACCGTGAAAATTATGTATGTTAGTGGGGATTCGACTCGCTCGACATACAAAAATAATGAGAAAAAAAATTAAAACCAGTTCTCTTTTCAATGAAAATTTGATCCTAAATCGATTTTCGATTCGACTCGTCGCACAGTGATTTATAAAGAACACTTTTAAATTCCGAGCGCGCCGCCGCGCCTCCAAACGCGTCTCGCGTATATATACCGTCAATGTAAAGTCGCCTGATGTCTGTTGTAACTGTATACCGCACAGTAAAAAGCCGCACGTGTACACTACAGAGTCCGTACGGTGTACAGTCTTGAAAGAACGTGTGCATGTGTCCTTTGCCATTCGAGCAAAAAAGTACTTAAAAATGCCTTATTCCGAGTACGCCCTTTTCGAGAGTCGAGCAAAGGAAGCGGTAAGGGTTTTCTTTATTACTTTTTTCACTCGCTGCACTCGTCGAGAGTGCAAAAAGTGATTTTGCGAAGGCGAAGTTTTGTAATGTCAAACTCTGCTGCGACCACGCAGCAAGCGCGTCGACTTAGGTTAAGCTCCTCTCTCTCTCTGATGCAATATTTTCATCGTTATCACCCTGACTTTTAACATCCGCAGGAGGAGTCGATCATCGAGTTGAAAAAGGAACTTGCGAATTTGCACAAAATCATCAACAGCGATAACTTCAAAATCGATGAGGATCACACGGCCAGTCAGCAAGAGCTCGATAACACCAAAAAGGAGAACGACAAATTGCGGATGCAAATAAATATCCTCAAAAGGGTAATTACTTGATTGTATTATTTAAGAAAATGATTGAAATTTTTTTCTGGTCGAGTTCTAAACGTCTACATTGTTAACAATAGGAAATATTTTATTTGTAGACGTACAAGGAGAGAAAAGCTCAACATCTTCTACTTGACACTGACCTAAGCAAATGCGAAAGAATGATTAGTTTGTATGATAATTTAAATGCTCTCTTTGAGAAAGCCATCAACGAGGCTTATCCTGATGTAGTTGATCCACCTGTAGTTATATCATCTAGTAACAATCCTAAATTTGGAGATTATCAGTGTAACAGTGCATTGCCATTGTGTAAACTTCTTAGTATGGAAAAAACTGATGGTATATTTATTGCTACATGAAAATTTTCTCATACTAAAATTATGAACAAATTATTAAAGTTATATTTTCTTGATCTAGCTAAGAAGAAAGTATCTCCTCTTGATGTTGCAAAAAATATATTGTCAAAAGTACCAAGCTCACCTCTTATTGAAAAACTGGATATCGCTGGAGCTGGCTTCATAAATATCTACCTGAAACGAGAGTATGGGCAGAATACTTTGAAAAATATATTAAAACTTGGAAAAGTTAATCCTCCACCAATCTACCAACCAAAAACAGTTCTTGTAGACTTTTCAAGCCCAAATGTTGCCAAGGAAATGCACGTTGGTCATCTGAGATCTACTATTATTGGTGAGAGTATCAGCAGGTTATTGGAATTTTTGGGACATAAAGTATTGAGAATCAACCATATTGGTGATTGGGGTACTCAGTTTGGAATGTTAATAGCTCATTTGGAAGACAAATTTCCAAATTATTCCACTGAGTCACCACCAATTTCTGACCTTCAGGTATGTTATTAGCATTACATTACTATAAACTTAGCAATTCATCATAAAATCCATTTCTAATATGTATGATAATTTTCAGGCTTTCTATAAAGAATCTAAACTTCGATTTGATAGTGATGAAGAATTTAAAAAACGAGCTTATGAGAATGTTGTTAAATTGCAAGCTCATGAACCTAAAATTATTCATGGATGGAAATTGATATGTGATGTGTCTAGAAAAGGTAGAATAAAAATAGAAGTAATAAAACAATAAAAATCTGCTTTTGTTTATTTGATTACTTTATAACACTACATTTTCTTGTAGAATTTCAGAATATTTATGATCGTTTGGATATCACATTAACTGAAAGAGGTGAATCTTTTTATCAAGATCGTATGGTTGCCATTGTCAAAGAATTGGAAGAAAAAGGATTCTTAGAAGAAGACGAAGGTCGCAAAATTATGTGGGGAAACCAAAAAGAAGGCACCATTCCTTTGACCATTGTTAAAAAAGATGGTGGCTTTACATATGATACATCTGACATGGCAGCAATCAAGCAGCGTATTTTTGAAGAGCAAGCAGAATGGGTATGAATAATATTTCATTCAAATATTTATAAAAAACTTTTTCTTAATTATATCTTAAATTTTTTAGATTATCTATGTTACTGATGCTGGACAAGCTACACACTTCCAGATTATTGTGAGTTGTGCAGAGAGAGCAAGAATAAAGTTGAGCCATCACCGAGTGGATCATGTTGGTTTCGGTGTGGTACTTGGAGAAGATAAAAAGAAATTCAAAACTAGATCTGGCGACACGATTAAATTAAGTGAATTATTGGACGAAGGTCTAAAACGCGCTGAGGATAAACTCCGAGAAAAGGAACGCGACAAGCACCTAACGGAGGAAGAATTCCGTGACGCCCAACGAGCCATCGCTTACGGCTGTATCAAATACGCCGATCTCTGCAACAATCGTGCCCACGAATACGTATTTTCTTTCGATAAAATGCTTCAAGACAAGGGCAACACGGCGGTCTACCTGCTGTACGCGAGGACGCGAATTCGCTCGATCGCCCGCACCGCCAACGTAACGCAAGAGCAGCTCAGGAAAGCCATCGAGGACACGCCGATCTCTCTGGAGCACGAGAAGGAGTGGAAGCTGGCCAAGGTGCTGCTCAAATTTCCCGACATCATCGCCAGGGTCACGAAGGACTTGTCGCTGCACACCCTGTGCGATTTCTGCTACGAGATCGCCACCACCTTCACGGAATTCTACGACAGCTGCTACTGCGTAGAGAAGAACAAGACCGGCGAAATCGTGAAGGTCAACATGGGAAGGATATTGCTGACCGAGGTGACGGCCATGGTGTTGGAGCAGTGCTTCTCCATACTGGGCTTGAAACCCGTTGAAAAAATGTGAATAGATGATATAATTGTAACATCGCTGGTTGGTGAACAGAAAAAAGAGAGACAATAATAAAGTAGCTTGTAAATTTTTGATAAAAAAAAAATCCGATTGAAATATTTGCATGCTTCGTAGTGTCAAGTTTTACAAATGAGCTGAAAAAAAAAAACATTAATTTTCTGTAATAAGAATTTTCAATAAAAATAAATTCTAATTTTTAATAGAAAAAAACAAGCCCTGTCTATTTATGTAACCAGTGTTCATTTTAAGTTTTCGCGAAAATTCTCCGAGGAAAAGCTCCATTCTAAAATAATATGGTGCCCTAAAATGTACCATGCTTTTAATTTAGCGAGCCGCGACGCAAGCAAACTCGTCCCCGCATAAATTCTAATTATAACGCGCGTCCAAGTAGTCCACGCGCATATTTATTTCGGTAATGCAGAGAGGATAATTTTATTACGGTACATCGAGAAAAGTGGAAAAACGCGCGATATCGACATTCCGCGAAAAATATTTCTTAATCATTTGCATATATTCATGAGCTGCAATAATCCGAGATAAATCCTACTCGTGCCTGTTTTAATGTATTCATAAAATTAGAAACACGCTTGGACGATGTTGACGGTCCCGTGACGCTATCGGTCAGAGTCGCGCAGCAGCGCTGCACTTTTACACAGACGTTACGGAGCTCTGCTTCTTTGGCTTGCTCCGCGCGCGCTACGAGTACTATACTATACGAGAGTCAAGTGCGGCCTCAATTAGTACAACAGCAGCAGTGAGTCGTATGTCGTCGTGCACAGTGGAGCCAGACGATTTACCTGCACTGCGGTACGTCTGCATTACATCTTCGATATAGATGCATCGACCAGTTGGTAGTGGTAAACACATCTCGTGCACAACACGCAATATCGAGTCGCGATCCCGACGAGCTCCAATACGATGGCCGATCAGCGATGTTAGGAGTGCAGTGCGTAATTCGTAATTATCTCGCGTCGACGACTAATAAATGTTATTCAAAGAATATGTGACGGACCGTCGGACGAGAGATCTTCGCATGTCGAGTAAAAGTAACCGTAGCAGCAGCAGCAGCAGCAGCAGCAGCAGCAGCAGCAACGGAAGCAGCAGTAGCAGTAGCAGTAGTCCAGAACAAATAGCTTCGAAACATGAGCTGGCTGAGAGGTAGCCCGCTGGCGAGCAGCTTCACCAAGCAACGATCCCGAGACTCGCCGCCTAAGGATGCCGATCCGGTCGCTTGCTACGACAGCTTTCGCGAGCACTGGCAGCAGAGCCACAACATTATCGCCCACTCGACCGTGAGTTTTTGAGATATACATCTGACGTTTATTTATATAGCGACGCTGTGTGTGTTTGTAAACAACGTGCTTTAAACGTGCTTGATAATGCATTGCAGCCCCCAAAAAATAGACCACCTAGTCAGGACGACGTGCTGGGAGTTGTCAATCACGTGGATCAGATGATCAATTTGCTGCAGCTGGAGATGCGCGACTTCTCCAATGTGCAGCAGCGTTTGCAGATCCAGCGAATGCAGCAGAAGAATATGGTGGCCACGGCACAGCTGACGGCGCATCATACACCCTGCCTGGAGCACTTGCTCAGTGAAAATCTGCTCGACAAGCTGTTCGATTGGAGCAAACACACTGGAAGGTATTGTTACAAGTAGAAAACAATCGAGGTCTTTTATTAACAAAATCTGTGTGACACTTTAGGTATGGAGCAGCGGTGAGAGTTGAACAATTGAAGCTCTACGAGTTGTTGATATCACATGACAGTTCTTTGTTGACGCATGAACCTGTAACAAGACCACTACTACATTTATTGGATGGTTGTGCGAATGACACAATTTTACCTGAAGTGCAAAAAAAATTAATAACTCTGCTAAATTATATATGCGTAGCATTAGTACAAAATACAGAACTATTAGGATTATTCTTTAGACCTACAGCTACTGGTAAAAATAGGTGGGTTTCGATATACTTTTATTTGTAATAATGCAATGCATCATAATAAAATTGTAAATTGTTTCATTTCAGATTTATTGTATTTTCATTGTTAATGTCATATATCCATAAGGAAGGTAGTTTAGGACAACAAGCACGAGATGCAATGTTACATTGCATGTCACTATCCAAAAAGAATGAAGAAATCGGTAATTACATTGCTGAAGAGTCACATATTTGTTCAGTAAGTCTGTAAAAATATATACTGCGAATTTATTAATACGCTTGAATGTCACTGATTGTTTTACAATTGCATTATAGGTATTAGCAACGGGACTGAGTGGTTTATATTCTTTACTTCCAAGAACATTAGACATAGAAAATGAAGATTGGCATAGATTAACAGTTGATGATGTCAATGATATACCAGCATTGACACAGCTTATGAACTCACTGGACTTCTGCAATGCAGTAGCTCAAGTTGTTCATCCTTCTGTGCAGAAACAACTAATGGAGTTTCTTTATAAAGGCTTCCTCATACCTGTTATTGGCCCTGCTCTCTTACAGGTAATTTTTTGTCCCTGTTTATGTGTAAATGTTCATCATCAAGTAACATCCTAGTTACAAGGATACTAGTTTGTTTTTATTTTTTATTTTTTGCACATAAATATATTTCATTTTCATGCACCCAATAATAACGTTACGTAAAATGTTTGTTGCACTCTCTGTTCGTGTCTTTGTGGTGACGGTGTTGCACGTACGCGTCTTTGATTGGTGCTGGTCTTATTCTCGTGTAACGTGAACCATAAAAAAGGAGTCCGTTGGTTTGACCTTGGATGAGCTTGACTCCATGATTTATCGGGTTCGTATAATAGTCTTATCTTAATTGTTATGTCCAAAGTATTTTATTTTGCAATTGTATTGTCATTCGTTTATGAAAAATGTCAGTGAACTTTCAAGTAAAATAACAAGTTTTTCTTTATCATAATAGACATCAGTGGAAGAACTCATAGCGGCTACGGCATACTTCGATCTATTTTTACGATCCGTCACCGAACCTGGACTACTTGGATTGATCTTGAAATTTTTACTCGAAGAGTATTACGACGAAAATCGAATATTCGATCATCTCATTCAAAGGATATCTTCGCAGGGATCGAGGGTAAAATATTTTCCATCGCACTTGAGATTTTCAATTCCCTGATACAGATCATAACGAAAGAATTTCCATTTAGCTGAGTCTCGTGACATTGGCTCTGTTTGAAACCCTCGTCGATCTCAATTGCGAGGACGTCATGCTGGAGCTCTGTCTCGGGGCACTGGCGCCCTGCTCGCACGTGATGCTGTCCCAGCGGCGCCGACTGCTGCGCGATCTCGACCCGTTCGGCCGCTGCGCCGAGCGCTTTCTTGCCCTGACGCCGTCCTGCTGCTCCTCGTCCACAGTGCCCACGGCCATTCTCGCCGCCACGGCCGGCGTTTCGCCGGTCGCCTCGCCGGATCTACGCCGACAGAATATTGCCAGTGTCAGCGTTGCGCAGGTAAGTCGAGCGATAACGAGCAAAAGTAGCACACTCTATCGAGTTTGTAAGTGGCTTTAACGAGCTTGAATTATCCTTAAGCAGCAGCAGCAGCAGCAGCAGCAACAACAACAACAACAGCAGCAATCAGCCACGAATACGAATGCCTTGAAAAATACGTCGCTTGCCTTTAGAAGTCTGTACAGTAATTACTACGCTTATCTGAGGGATGCCCGACAAAAGATAGCCGCCTGTCAAATTGCCTGCTCGACTTGGTCGCGAAAATACGAAGACGAAGAGGAAGACACGCTCGGCGTCGAGGTCATCGATCCAGATGACACCGATAACGAGAACGGCAATTTCGATGAGTGTTACGAGGAAGACAGTTTGGCTTTCGATTTGAGTCCCGATAAAGGTATAGATACTGCGTTCTGAATATTAGTTAAAATTAAATTTTTATCAATTTTGTGAAAATTGGAATCATTAATTTTATTTTCCAGAGTCTGAGCGTAAAAACAGTACGGACGAAAAAGTCAATCGAATAATAGCCAGCTTCTCCCCAAAACCAATAAAAACTCAAAAAGTGCAATCGGCCAGTCAAGCGAGACACGATAGCGTCGAAGATATTGCCAAACGATTGACTCGAGAGGAACGCGAAAAACTCGAAGCCGACATAGCCGAGCTTCTTAGCGAATCTTGCAGCAGTACGCCGAGCGCCAAGAGTCCGTCCGACGAGTCCACCGCGGCTCTGAATTCACTCTCTCTCAGCGGCGGCGAGAGTAGCGGCTACGAGAGTTTCGCGTGCAACAACAACAACAACAGCAGCAGCAGCAACAACAACGGCAAAGGTTTGTCGCCCCTGAGCGACGAATTGAGCATCAGTCCCGCCTCGAGCCAGAACCGAGTATCGACGCAGCAGAGACGCAAAAGACTGCAGCGGAGAGATGCCAAAGACGCTCGATTAGAGTCGATCGACGCCAAGCCACCGAGCGTCGGCATATTTTTCGACGTCGTCCTGAAAAAACTGGAAAATATGATGGAAAACAACGTTTACGTGAATTTGCATCTGACGGGTTTGATAAGCAGACTTGCTATTTATCCTCAGCCACTTTTGCAGTCGTTTTTGCTGAATCACTCGTTGGTATTTCAACCGAGTATCAAATCTTTATTTCAGGTAATGTTTGACCTATTGCCATTTAAATATTAACGATTATGGCTTCTCTAATGCAACAATGAATTTTATTTTCAGATTTTAGCAAGTTTAAAACATCGTATCGATGCCTTTATCGCGAAACAATCAGATGGCAATGTAAGTTCGTTGGTCGAGCAAGCCAGAGTATTTTTAATCACACGTGAAAACAGACTCGTAAATATAAGAAAAAACGTGCTTGAGGCTGCCGCTCAATGTCCTAGTCCGAAAAAAAATCAACCAATTAACGAGTCCGCGTATTCGAATGCCAATTTAACAGGGAAAGGTATGTGCTTCGTATGTTAATGGAAGTTTCTTATTTCTAAGTTGACTCTTTTAACAAGATGATTCATTTTACAGCATCCGAGCCTAGAAAAAGAAGCTTAACATCATCTCTTACACAAATGTTTAGAAAATCAAGTAATACTGAAACTAACTCGTCAACGGATTCATACAATAACAATCACAATGCTTCTTCTCTTACAGTAGAAAATGAAAACAGAAATGGCAATGTTAAATACATGTAAGTTTTGTACTATGTCAAATAAGTTATAATTTCCTATTATAATTATGATTTATTTTATAGAAAACACGTGAATTCTTGGGAAGCTCCAAATAAAATAAGTCGTTTGCAAAACGTCATACTATGTGCAGTTATTTTAGATGAATGGCTGAAAGAATTGGCCGCCATAACTCAAGAGCACACGATCGTCAGTTGGTTTTGCGCTGCATCAGTTACAGATGGTTCCCAGAACGAAGATTTAGATTAGATAATTTAAAAATATTACGCATTCGTCCATGAAAAGTCAATGAAAGAAAATAGTAATATCAAGTTCAAAGATACTTAGCAATCGTAAATTTATCTACCTGTATGTTAATTGTCAAAAATGTATGTGAATAGTGTAGATTGTAGTGTACAGTTGTAAAATTTGGTTTTAATAAGATTTTATTTAGAGTTGTCTTGTTTTGTAGATAATGTTACGATTTTGTTAAAATATGTGTACATATTTTATTTTTTAGTATTGCAATGAACTCTGCATGTAATATTTACTGCAACAGCGTAAGAGCAAAGACATCTTTTCCAATTATTTCTATTATAAAGCAATTTTATAAGAGTTTATTAATGAAAAAAAGCAAGTGCCAAAATTCAAGAGTAAATTCATATTTTTGGCATTCGTACAAACTCAACAATAAATACTTCCTGTAAATAGATAAATATTATCTATTGAACGCGAACGAAATTTACGAACAATGAATTCATTATTCATTAGAGAAAAAACTTAAAGTCCAAAGTGTTAGACTGTTTGTTAATTAAAGTCAAATGTTGGTAGGTCACGCTTACCCTTCGAGGTTCGAGAGTCAAAACTTTTATTACGAACTGTGTAAATGTAGATTTGTACTGTGTAAACATGTAGTTAGATGATTTTATATCTAGCACTTACTTGTATTGTGTGGTTGCCTGTAATTATGATTAATTATGGCACTGGTATTGTACCTTGGCTCTACATTTTCGATGCTTGTCTCATTTGATATTCAATATATGTGAACTTATAATTTTACTTATCAAAATGGAAAAAATATTCGTTTTTTCAAAGATGAATCAATATAAGAAGATTATTGATATAATTTATATTTTTGTAAAAAAGTTTACCATTTGAAAAAATGTACATTATTTTAACGTATGTTACTTTAAGTCTGTTGCAATCCAATCGTCTTCGACTATTTGTCAGGTAAACTTACCTCTACAGCAAATAGAGTTTTATTACTTTCGTCATAATAAAAATCAAAAATGAATTAAAGATCTGCAATGAATCCGTAATACTTTGGTTTGATTTTAATTGTTTCAAGACCAAGACTAAATCAAAAATTTGCATATTATGTAATATTGTACTAAACAATTTTAAATAAAAGAGATTGAAAATTTATTTGAAGCGCTATCTTTTATTTCATAAATGTACAAAGTACTTGATATAATTGAAATCCTCCTTTACCAGTTGACTTTTTAAGTAACATCAATTCGATCTTCTCTCAATGAGTATGTATGGTGATAAGGGACACATAGCTTTTTTCGGGCCGTCGATTGGTCGATCTAAAGCGTGAGAAAAAATAGTGTGTCAGGATCATGAATTAATTATTTATTTCAGAGATGTATTTTAGTTTTAGACCACAAGTGCCATATTATTTGTATACCATAGCTGGGGATGTCGGAGTTACTTTTTTATCATTTCTCTGTTTATTTGACATAGATGGTTTCGTTAAAAACCATTATTACCCCTGACATGATGGATTTAACTGAAAAAGCCTTTGTTTATTTTGAAAGATCCAACGTAATTTTTGATCGATCGTAAGTGAAACTAGTTTAGAATAATTAAATTGAATATTATTAAAGATATTTTAAATATGACAGAAATTTTGAAATCAATAAAAGATCGATGCTTTGACGATCCCTTGGCAATAATGTCCTTAAATAAGAGAAAAACGTATTGATTGATTCTTTTGAAACACTAAAAGATGTTTATTCAGCATTCAATGCAAAATCTGAAAACTCCAAAACAAATTGTATCGAGTAAAGTAAATTCAAAGTTGCCGACTTGATTGTCACACGAGCCGCGGCGCGACCGAACACATGGGTATACGATTGGCGCGCGCCGTCGCGACCAAACTTTCGAATTCCGACTGTTGAGTATCATACGAGCTGTCAGAGTTGTCGGTTCGCGCCTCACAGCCCCCTCGCGCTCGAACGAAGAAGAATCGCGTCGACCGCAGCAAGTCGTTCTCGTGAAAAAGAAAAAGAAAAATTAATTTCGTAACAATGGACCGTTACTACCGTGACAGCGTGGCAGCATTGAATGCTTTGCGAAACCAATTCAATGGGCAGGTCGAACAAGAATTTATTCGCCAACTTTATCCGCAGATAGTAGATTGGGCGGACAGAATCCCATGGGAGAATTTCAAAGACATTTTTCGACAATTACAGCTCCGGCGAGAAGAAATCGATTTGCTCCTCAGAGAGGATGCGAAGAGCGGCCTTCCCCAATGTCCACTCATCGCATGCGCTTCCCAGACCAACTACAAGGACGAACCCGATCTCGACGAGGACGGCAGACCTCCGCAGCGACGCACCACACCGTTGCACATGATAGCTGGACTCGAGTTTCCTGAAATTTTGCCCTACGTGGCCCATGATCTCTTTGACATTTATGACAGATTTGACGTGAACTACACCGACGAGTTGGGATTCACGCATTTCCATGCGGCCTGCAAGTGCAACGTCGTAAAAGCCGTCACCAAATTTCTCGAGCTCGGGCAAGATCCCAATCTGATCGTGCCAGGGACGCTCGATTCGCCGCTTCATTTGACCACGAGCCCGGAGGTGGTCGAACTGCTGCTGGAAAAAGGTTCCGATCCGACCCTGACCAATGCCAAGAGATCGACTCCTCTGCACAGCATGTGCCGAGGAGGACTAATGCACACTAGCCAGGAGCTGACGAAGAAATTCTTCGAGATCAACGAAAAAATCGGTCAACATCGCGTGCCGATCAACGCCCAAGACAATTCAGGCAATGCGCCGTTGCACTTGGCTCTCATGGCGTGCCAGCGGGGCACGATGGAGATTCTATTGAATAATGGCGCGGACCCGAATCTACCTCACGGAAAAAACCTTTGGACACCTCTGCACTTTATTTGTCTGAAAATTATGTTCGCAACGCATAATCAAAAGATACCGATGGTCGAATTGCTGCTGAGGGCTGGCGCCGATCCCAATGCCACGCTGGAGGGATCGACTCCTCTGCATCTTATTTGCCAGCATCATGATCACCATGTCGAACTGTTGAAGAAGATATTCGAGCTCGGTGGGCGGCGGGTGAATGTCAACGCCGAAGACCGTCAGGGCCGGACGCCGCTGTTTTACGCCGTGGTAACTCTCGGCCCGAGTTTGGTCGATGTGCTTTTGGATAATGGCGCCGATTTAACCAGCTTCAATTTTCCGACTTATGATGACTTTCGCGAATATTCGAAAAAGTGGAATCACGGGGCTCATGATATCTTGATCCTAGCATCTGGTGTTTTGGCCATCGTTGATATCCTCCAGAAAGGAGGATACAAATGGTACGAAAGAGAAGAAATATACGATCTGACGATCGGGGAATTATTCGAAAAGTTCTGGATGTTTCAGCCCTTGTCGGACTCCGATATACGTTTGCGCAGAGGAAAATGTTGGTTCGAGGAAGATGCCTTCGTGGAAAAAGCGAAAGAGATCAAATTCAAAGGGGATCTGTCGCTCCACGAGGTGATCCAGTTACGACCCAAAGAGGCGAAAAAGAAGCTCGACTACTTGGACTACTTCAGATTCGCTACGTCGGGCGATTTACACAAGCTCGGGAATTATAAGTACGGCTGCGCCTTGCATCTGTGCGAGAAGCTGGCCAGGGCACATTTCCTGGAATTGGCACTGGAGGTTTTCCCGAGCGTGATTCCCATTGGCAATTCAGAAAAACATTACCAAGAGGTCAACGAGACGATTTGCGATCACCTGAGGAACAAAGATTTATGGCATATGTATAAGGCTCGGCAGCAGCAGATCGAAATCGATAGAAAAAAGAATAATGGCTGCAAAAATAACCCCAGCTCGTAGAAATCAAACATAATGTAAAAATTTATGATTTGTATATACATTAGTATATAGGAACAGTCATGGTAACTAATAAGTCACTTAGTTTGTCAATAAGTGTAACGACTAAAATAATAAATCTAAATGAATAGATTGACCAATTTTTCCATAAATATTACGATTGAAATTAATGTAAATATATATAGATTGACCAATTTGTCCATAAATGTAACGATTGAAATAATTGTAAATAAATAGATTGACCAATTTGCTTGGTTTTTAATTTCTCATTTAATTCACGTTTTTGGATTATTTTGCAGACCTTACAGCTTGAAGATGATACCTTATTGAAAAGAAGGAAAAAGTAAACGTTTAGAAGATTAAAAGATTTTCCGATGATTTTTTTTTTCAACTCAAATAACAACGTCGGGAGAGACACACATTAAATGAATAAATAGTTGATCTTCTGTCGGGAGAGAATGAGTGAGTATGCGATATTCACAACATTCAAATACGAGACTTACGCGTAAGCTTACTGAACTTAGCACAAATAAGGTGCATAATAGGCTTGGCGTAGATGACTTTAACTGAATCGGCTCGTCGAATACTCGTGCGGCTCGCGCTGCAACTGGCCCAACTGGCTTCCGGTTGTCGAATCGCCACAACTCATCTGTCAGTTGTCCTTGAATATCCAAAAATTCGTACTAAATCGGAGCAACAGTTTACCTTCCTTTTTCTGTCGATACCTTGTCGATGGCAGATGTTAATTAATAAGCCCTGATTGTTTTGTGAAGACTTGTGTGATTTTTGAGTACTACTTTTCACATATGCCGTTTAATACTATCTAATCTAATGCGTTAGAAGGGACACATGACATGTGAATTTCAATGCGCCATAATACGCTCCAAAAGTCTAAACATTGTGCCTGCCTTAAAATGCGCGTTTGGGCGCAAAATCAATAAACACTTCAGAGTTCAGACTAGAGGTGTACATACGATTTGCCGATTTATTTTTCACCGCAAACTTTCTTATTCACACACGATAACTGAGGGATGTCGAAGTTACTTGGGTTATAACGTGAGTGATAATACAGGCTTTACTTTTAGCGCAGTAGTTAGTTGGATTTTTATCATTACTTTATGCAGTCGTGCAAAAATCTGTGCGAGCTGATGGTTTACCCATTCGCTTTTATTTGTTACAACGATTTTGTCAAGACATTTTTACATCGATAGATTCAATGTAATTTTGTCGATAAAACCAGTTTAGAATGATTTCATTGGTAGGGCAATGATTCAAATTTATCACTCAATATTTTAGAAGGCGACCTGTGCTAAATTCAGCTTCAGCTAAAAATAGCTATATAAATCGATATAGTTGACATTTTTTGTGACAGTAAAATATGTTATTCTATACCTGATTGACAAAAAAAACTTCTACCCAAGCTCTGAAATAACAATTACATCACTTTTTTCGTAAAACTAAATATTGTATTATAAATCACTTGCCGTATGATCTTGAAGAGTTTTTCATCAATATTAATCGATCGGATGTGAAAATTTTTAATAATTGCGTACAACTTTTCATACACATCAAAATGTGACAGTTTTTAAGAAAACCGATATTTTATTAGCACTAATGCCACATTTAAGCTCTTGGAAGAGAAGCAAACTCTTCTTTTCAAATTCGACTCCGCTCAAGTGGATGAGGGTACTTTTCTGAAGATTTTCTCACCCCATAGATCAATATCGATGAAACTCTCTTTTAACTATTATGAAAAAAGTTATGTCATTGTTATTTCAGAGCTTGGGTGGACGTTTTTTTTTTGTCAAACAGGTGTAGAATGAACATATTTTACCATCACGAAAAAATGTCCACTATTTCGATTTATATAACTACTTTTAGCTTAAGCTGAATTTAAGCTTTCAGCACGGGTCGATCCCCTTAAGTGAAACTTGTTTACACGAGTTTATCAAGAATTAATAAAGCTTTCTCAAAAAATTATTACCAACAGATTGACTTGAAATTCATTATCAAATATTAGAAAAAATATCTTTCAAATATGGTGAAAATTTTGAAAATCAATCAAATTTCGATACTACGACGCCCGATCTCTACTCTGAGAAAAAAGTATATCGCTATCTCAAAGAGACTAATTCTACGGTGACTGCAGAAACGAGTTTACTTAGTACAATTTCTCTTCGTAATAGGGAGAATCATCACTGGCCAATAAGCAGTTTTAAACGCGGCACTTCCCAATTTATAAGCTGCATGTAAAGTGAAAAGTGAGTGATTTGCGACAGAGCGCCCATTGCGAAGACTGCTTAACGTTTTCGAGTGCATAATTGCGCTACATTTGTTAAAGCATTGTAATTTAGGAAATGTAGCCGGAAAGCTGCAATGGCTAGAAAATTTACAAACGATGCGCCTTTTTAAGTTTTTGACCCTCAGAAATCCAAATATCATATTAATTGTTATCGCAATCCCCGACATCGGGGTGAAAAACGAGGGTGAAAGTGTTTTTTGCATACATCACCAAAACTAAGCAAGATTTGGAAAAATAGATTACGCCAATCGATTCCTCGTGAAATTTTACATAGAAATACATTTAAAACTTTCAATGGGTCTGTGTAAAATGGTTCACAATATCGAAAAATTAGTTAACCGTCGGCCGTGTTGGCTAGCCACGCTCTATTTGCCGTGGATCGCTGTACATGCATTTTTCGATATTGCGATCGATTTCACACTGACACTTTTAGAAGTAAAAGTGTATTTCTATGTAAAATTTCACGAGGAATCGATTGGTGTAATCCATTTCCCCGTATTTTGCTTAGTTTTTTCGGATTCTTGATCAAAAACATAAAAAAGCGCATCGTTTGTAAACTTTTTGGACGTAGCCGGATGCACATTGAGGTTTTTACACTATGACGCGGTGTACACGGAAAAGTGATTGCCTCTTGAAAGATGGAGCTACGAGTACTGCCAAACACGATGCAGACTCAAGCTGATTCTGAAGCTGCTTTACGAAAAGCGAAGCAAATTTCCACTGTGCTACGCAGTTCCTACCAAATTTTCTAGCCATTGCCGCTTTCGGGCTACTTTTCCTAAATTACAATGCTTTAACAAATGTCGCGCGATCATGCCCTCGAAAACGTTAAGCAGTCTTCGCAATTGAAGAAGCTGCACGCTCTTTCGTAGTGCAATTTTTTTCTGTTTAATATTTTAAGAATCAATCACTTTTCCGTGCACACGCACGCATGCACAATGCACATACACACACTCGCATACGAGTGCGAAGAGCGGCCCTTAGCACTGCTGCCAGTGCGAGTCGGCATGGCAAGTTTTCAAACCGAGATCTAAACTCGGCAACATCGAACTCAAACTCGGGTGATAGTGGTGCACACTGCCCACACTGAGGTGCGCAGCTCGCCGCCCAAGGGCTAACTTTCTTTACAGCAACGTCAAAGATTCGAACGACCGTTACAACGTTGCGAACGATGGCTAGCATAGGGTTCGATTGTCACACCCTGAAACGCACTGCACAGTGCACATGTGACGCACTGCGAGCGAGCGGACAACCCCCACTACGATTAACCGTCATGCACCAACGAATCAATACCCGCGTCCGTAAGTAGCCGAATTGCCGCAGTATTGGCATCTAACATCGTGAAGCAAGATGTCCACCGTAACTGCTCGCTTGTATCGTTGTGTGTAACCGTGCAGTGCTTTACAGTGTGTGACAATCGAACCCTATGCTAGCCATCGTTCGAAACGTTGTAACGGTCATTCGAATCTTTGACGTTGTTGTAAACGAGTTAGCCTTCCAAAATCCTTGGGCGGCGAGCTGCACACCTCCGTGCGTTGGTGTTAGTGGGTGCAGACAGTGCACCACTATAAGCCGAGTTTGAGTTCGATGTGTGTGAGTTAGTGAATGCGTTTAGGTGCATCATATTAAAAAAGGGGAAGTGCCGCGTTCGAAACTGCTCGTTGGTCAGTGACAATTCTCCCTGCCACAAGGAGAAATCTCACTTGTCCCAAATGAACTTGTTTCTGCTGTCCCAGCAAAATTAGTTTTCCCGAGCAAAGGATCCGAGGTGTCAGAGCTGGCAGTTCGCTCCTTACAATACCTCGAAGAATCGCGTCCACCGTAGCAAGTCATTCTCGTGAAAAAGAAAAAGAAAAATTAATTTTATAACAATGTACCATATCTGCGTTGCAGAATTGAAAGCTTTGCGAAAACAATTCAATAGGCAGGTCGAAGATGAATTTATTCGCCAACTTTATCTGCAGACACTAGATTGGAAGGACAGAATCTCATGGGAGAATTTCAAAGACATTTTTCTACAACAGCTTCGGCGAGAAGAAATCGATTTGCTCCTCAGAGAGGATGCGACGCGCGGCCATCCCCTTTGTCCACTCATCGCATGCGCGTCCAAGACCAACTACAAGGACGAACCCGATCTCGACGAGGACGGCAAACCTCCGCAGCGACGCACCACACCGTTGCACATGATAGCTAGACTCGAGTCTTATGAAATTTCGACCTGCAGGGTCCGTGATCTCTTTAACATTTATGACAGATTTGACGTGAACTACACCGACGAGTTGGGATTCACGCATTTCCATGCGGCCTGCAAGTATGGCCTGGACGGCGTGGCGAAGAAATTTCTCGAGTTCGGGCAAGATCCCAATCTGATCGTGCCAGGGACGCTCGATTCGCCGCTTCACTTGACTACGAGCCCGGAGGTGGTCAAACTGCTGCTGGAAAAAGGTGCCGATCCGACCCTGACCAATGCCAAAGGATCGACTCCTCTGCACAACATGTGCCGACTAACGAAAAATAGCAAGGCGTTGACGGAGAAATTCTTCGAGATCAACGAAAAAATCGGTCAACATCGAGTGCCGATCAACGCCCAAGACGAGTCGGGCAATGCACCGTTGCACTTGGCTCTCATGGCGAGCCAAGTGGGCACTATGGAGATTCTACTGAATAATGGCGCGGACCCGAATCTACCTCACGGAAAAAAACATTTGACACCTCTGCAATTTATTTTTCAGAATATCATCAATAAATACGCATCACGAAACGACCTGCGGGAAAAGATACCGATGGTCGAATTGCTGCTGAGGGCTGGCGCCGATCCCAATGCCATGCTGGAGGGATCGACTCCTCTGCATCTTATTTGCCAGCATTATGATCACCATGTCGAACTGTTGAAGAAGACTCTTCCCCCTCGTATTTGCCAGCATCATGATGACGATGTCGAACTGTTGAAGAAGATATTCGAGCTCGGTGGGCGGCGGGTGAATGTCAACGCCCAAGACCGTCAGAGACGGACGCCGCTGTTTTACGCCGTGGTAACTCTCGGCCCGAGTTTGGTCGATGTGCTTTTGGATAATGGCGCCGATTTATCCAGCTTCACTTTTCCGACTTTTGATGACTTTGCCGAAAATTCGACCACGTGGATCGGTAAGATTAATTATAACTTGATACTAGCGTCTGGCGTTATGGCCATCGTTGATAGCCTCCAGAAAAGAGGATACGAATGGTACGAAAGAGAAGAAAACAACCGTACGGTCGGGAAATTATTCGCCAGGTACGAATTGTTTCAGCGCTTGTCGGACTCCGATATACGTTTGCGCAAAGGAAAATGTTGGTTCGAGGAAGATGCCTTCGTGGAAAAAGCGAAAGAGATCAAATTCAAAGCAGATCTGTCGCTCCACGACGTGATCCAGTTACGACCCAAAGAGGCGAAAAAGAAGCTCGACTACTTGGACTACTTCAGGTTCGCTACGTCGGGCGATTTACGCAAGCTCGAGAGTTATAGGTTCAGCTGCGCCTTGCATCTGTGCGAGAAGCTGGCCAGGGCACATTTCCAGGAACTGGCACTGAAGGTTTTCCCGAGCTTCGTTCACATTCATAATTTGCCGGAACATATCTCTGAGACTATTTTCGACCACCTGACGAACAAAGATTTATGGCATATTTATGATGCTTCGCAGCAGCAGATCGAAATGGATAGACAAAATAATCCCAGCTCATAGAAATCAAAAATAATGTAGCAATTTATGGCAAGTATGGCAGAGAGAGCTGCGGCGTACAAGCTCCTTATCTTTCAAGACGTTCGCCTTCGTCATGAATTTAATAAAAAATGTCAATACATGCTGAAAAAGTAATTATATCAGTTCTTATTGTTATAAATGGTTGTTCTTTAATATCTAAAAATAATTTTTTATTCTAATATTTTTGGATAGCATGTGGAATTTTTTTTCCTCTTGATATGAAAAGCTTATTGGCGGACATGCGTATATGAATTGATAAAAAGTTATTGCATTTAATTAGTGTAATAAATACACTGCATAAAAAAATGAATCGTCTTCAAACATTATGTTATAAGCGTAAGCAAATTTAAAAAAGACTGAAAAATTTGATTGCGTAATCCAAAAAAATCCAGCTATATTTAACAAAATTTTTCGAAGTACGGAAAGCTTTCTTTACATTATGTTGTAAGATTCGAATCGATATTGATTGAGACGCCCGGGCAAGTAGAATCATAAGTAAGGTTTTTTTATACAAATTATAATTTTACATAATCAAACGAGATTATTATTTCAATTTTGTACTACATACTGAAATAATGGTTCCTATAAATGTTAAAAATCATTTACTGAATTATTTTTCAGACTTAAGTATACAATTAAAGTTTGAAAAGGAAAATTTCATTTTGCGTATCAATTGTTGTCAGAATTTGTTTGATATCATTGCTATCATAGCTCATTAAATAATTATTCAATAGTAGATTGATATTATAAACTATTATAATCATTATATCCAAAATAAAATCTATTATAATCATTATATATTATATATCATTATATATTATAATCATTATATATCCAAAATAAAATCAAATATCTATTATATCCAAAATAAAAAAATAAAAAATTTTGGAGTTAGATTTGAATTGGGATAAGACTGTCATACTTGCTAATCTTTTAAAAAAGTATTACCACAATTTTTAATTACTGTATGGTAGACATTTTAATTTTATATAGTATTTGAAATATAAAAATTTCAGTCATGCTGAATAATTGTCGGAATATAATTGATTTCATTCATATCATATCCATGTAATTGAACAATGGTAGATTGAGTATAATAATGAGCCTTTTGTTAATTTGATGAGTATCAAATTGGATTTATATCCATGCGATGAATAGTTTTCTTTTTGCATCAATAAAGTACAATTTTTGCATATACAGGTATCCCTCGTTATACGCGGCTTCTTCATACGCGGTTCAAGACGTTCGAAAAAATTTTTTTATAACCTTTTGAAAAATTTGACAATGGCTTCAAATACTCCGAAAATTTCTAAAACTCCAATAAAAAAAGAAAAGTTATGAATTTGGCTGAAAAATTGAAAATTCTAAATTTAATCAGAGAAGGGGAGTTTATATTGCAGCTATTGCTAGGCGATTTGAAGTCAATGAGTCGTTCTATTCGAACTTTAGATTTTTATATTGACATGTTTATAAAGATTCGCTTTTTCCCTCATTACACGTGGAACTTTTCCGGAACGTAGCCCTCGCGTATAACGAACGGTTGCCTGTACATTAATATATAGGAACAGTCATGATAACTAATAAGTAATAAGTCACTTAGTTTGTCAATAAGTGTAACGACTAAAATTAATCTAAATAAATAGATTGACCAATTTGCTTGGTCTTTAATTTCTCATTGGATTCACGTTTTCAGATTATTTTGCAAACCTTACAGCCTTACCTTACAACCTTACCTTAAAATGATATCTTATTGAATAGAAAAAAAGAGCAAACGTTTAAAAGATCGAAAAATTTTTCCATGATTTTTGTTCAATTAAAATGACAATAATATTTTATTTTATTCAATTTTGTCAATCAATTATGTTTTTTTAAAAAGTTTTCTAGTAATCGATCCGGTAATACATACAATTTTTCTCATTTCAAAAATAAAATAGATTCTACAAAATCGTGGTATGCAGATTTGAAACCAGTTTTAACTCATATAAAATAAACCCATACCAATGCTTGACTATAACAAACCAACTACTGTCGGCTATTATTTATATGAATAATAATTAAAATAAAATGATGTTGAGATGAACATTTTTTTTGCTTCTTTGAATAATATATTTTCAGAAAAAATTATAGCCACATTTTTAAATCATCAAATCTTTTTTTTAAGCGATCTAAATCAGGAATTCCGACCACCTTTAATAAACTTTAATAATTTTCATGTATATGTATCGATTCAATTTTTAAGAACGAATATAGGGTTCCTTATGTACTTCTAGACTTTTCCCATTTTGTATCTTTAAAACTTTTTTAAGAAACATTACAAGCTTCGTTGAATCAATTGTGTAAGTACTCATTCAAAAGGTTAACTTTTTCGCTATCAGAAAGTATTTTTAAACAATTATTTCAACGTTATGTATAATTTTCACAATTAAACAAAGTGAGAATTTTTCTCAAGTGGTCGAGTGCTGGTAGATTTACCCCTATGTATTGTTTACTCTTTTTTGTAAACTAAAAATAAGTAAGAATATTATGTGATGTTAAAAATTATTTTGATTATTGAAAAACCTCGTCATCCAATACGATAGAATGGTATAACACTTGAATTTAAATACAAGTCAAAACATATCAAGTCTACCTTTAAATGCACATGCGCACGCCAAGTCAAATTGACTGGTCAGTGGTCAGTCATCAGTGGTCACTGGAGTTGAGCTTGCCACTGCGCCGCAGACTGTTGTTGTCACTTGTCAGTGTGTAACTGGTGTAGCTCTGCCAAACGTACGTCCACACCACTAGACGTATCCGAAGTATTTCCATAGTTAACATTTATTCATTTAATCCCTTGTTGCTGGAATCCGAGGCACTGAACTTGACAGGCTGCCAGTACAGTCGTCAGCATCAGTGCTCAAACTGTACACAGAATAATATTTATTCTTCTCGTTTGCATCAAACTCGAGTTTTAAAAAAGAAAAGTTTACAATGAGTGAATCAACCAAAACTGCTGCTGAGAAAATGAAAGAACGTATGGAACGATTGAAAAATCTTCATTTAAAAAGAGTAAGTACCTTTTTATTTTTATTATCTCGTCAAAATATGAAGTATATAAACTTTTATTAAAATCGAAGCTATAACCTCAAATCTAATATGTTCGTATTTTTATCCAAGAACATTATGAGCGTAATGTTGATTACAGTTTTTATATTTTTAAATGTAACTGTCAAAGAAAATAATCTTACTATTGAATTGTGTTTAAATTTTTTTTCAAGTACTTTATGAGTATATTACTAATTATAACTTTTTTATTGTAGAATGAAGCTCGTCAACACAATCATAAAGCAGTTGTCGAAGAGGATAAGCAGAAGAAGCTACCCTCGAATTGGGAAGCGAGGAAACGTCAAGCGGACTGGCTTCTGCAAGACGAAGAGGCTAGAAAAAAAGCAGCAGAAGAAGGTTTAGATTATGACAGGACCAAACTTCTTCACATTGATGCCACTGAAGCAGAGCGGCTAGCCAGAAAAAAAAAGAAAACTGCACCCAATGATGGATTCAGTGATTTTGAACAGGCCACTGTTCGTCAATATAACCGATTAGTAAAGGGAATCAAGCCCAACATGGAAAGTTATGAAGAGGCCAAAGAAAAGTTGGGGCCTGCATTTTATGGAGATCCTAACACTATTCTTCATGGATTGCACAAAGACAAAAAAGAAGCCATTGACAAAATGGTAGACGATTTGGAGAAACAGTACGTACATTTATTTCAAATTTTAATTTTAAATGCACAGAAATAGCGATCAAAGTTATTAAAATTACCTTTTTAATTTGCAGATGTGCTAAACGAGAAAAGTACAGTAGGAGAAGACGTCACAATGATGATGAAGATATTGACTACATCAATGATAGAAATGCCAAATTCAATAGAAAATTGGAGAGGTTCTATGGAGAACAAACTAAAGTTATTAAAGAAAATTTGGAACGTGGAACTGCTATATAATTTATCAGAATTAATATGTTATTTTTAATAGCATAAATAAGATATAAGTTATTGTAAATATAGTTGGTTAAGTAAAATTGTGTAACAGTATTATTTCACTGTTCAGTTGGATTACATACTATTTTAAATATTTGAAGCTTTTAAGTAACAAAACAAATCTATGTAAATACATTTGAATCATTAAAATTATATAGACAAGCGATGCATAAATAAAATAAATTATTTAATTCAAGTGTAATCCAAATTTTTTGTATTATTAATATAATACTACATAGAATCTTTGTAGATTCATTAAATTTAATGTTTCTTGAAACTAACTTAATTATTAAGGAAGTCATACTAATACTTGAAACAGTTTATCCGTGTATGCATCACTCATAAGCAGCTGATAGAGTAATACAATCACTTTTAATTCCACAGTCCGCACTGCTTATGCATATTGTGATTACTCCACAAATCATAGAGTTGACTAGGTTTAGCTAAGCAGATCGAAAAATTTTTTAAATCGGCGTATCCTTACAGAACCGATCGTCTTTATAATTCCTCAATTCTTCAACATTCAAATAGAACATTTATTTTAATTACTATCGCTATTTGCAATGAATTCTTTTCACAATGAATACCTCGTTTTTACCTTACATTTTGAAACGTGGTTTGAAAATTGTTAATTTTTTCATTTGAATATACTTTAGCGATCCAGTAATTCTAAATTCGATTTCTTTTTCTAAATGTGCAAAGTAATTTTTAATATTATATTCTTCATAATTATTATGCGATTTCATGTAAAATTCAACAACTTTTCAGTCAGATTAATATCAGCTCATAGCGTCCTGAAGATTCAGAGAAAAAAAGGATTGATATAATATTATTAAGAAATGTCCAACTGAAAAATTTGATAATATTATCATTTTTAATCACAAATTACAAAAAATTAATCCATCTATTAATTCCCCAAATCGTAATATTAAATTGTCATTCGTACGATCTTAATCTCGCTCACTTGCATACGATCGGCGCAGTACGCGCGAATATTCTCCTTCCCCCGGTGCACATCCGCAATTATATACACATTACACGCGCAAGTTTGTATATAGACATACACGCAGGGAGACTCGGAATCATAAAGCCTTTCTGTTGCTCTCAACGAAGGCAATTTGCAAACCCGTTTTCGCACTACTATACATAGAGTTCGATTCGACGAGCAGTCTCGGAACGCTGCTTCTCTATTTTATACGTATGCCTCGTATATAACGCATCTTTTGCGGAAAGCGCCGCATCATCGTCGTCGCTCGTATATCATACCGATCCCACTCTAGGCGTATTTCGCGTAATAGTCCAATAATAATGCTCGTAATTACACGTTGAGATCGCACCGATTACGACGCGTCGCGCGTGCGACTTTGCGAGATAAAAAAAAAAAAACTATGTTCGCGCGTTCCAGCGTGCGAGCTGCGCGGAGCATGTGAGTCTCAGTCACACAGTCCGTAGCGTACACTACACACCACGCCTCGCCTCGCGCGACAGCTCGAGCTCGTTTTATCAATCGGACACGCAGCAGCAGAAGACGAGATGATCGTCCAAGTGCTCGGCGTACTGCTGCTCGTCTGCGCTTTGTACCACTATTACACGCGATGGACGAGAATCGGGAGACACCTGAAAGTGATACCCGGACCGACGGTCTGGCCTATCGTCGGCTGCCTGCCACGCTTGCTCGTGCCAATGGGTATATAAATTCAAACTCTCGACTCGAATTGTTACGTCGTTTAAATCCTTTGCTTTTATTTTTCTATCGTGTATATGTACAGAGCAACACTGGGATAACGTCATGAAAATGGCCAACGAGTTCTATCCCATCTTCAAGCTCTGGGTCATGCACGTGCCGGTCGTCGTTATAATGACCGCCGAAGACGCCGAGGTAGATCATCATTATTACTATCTTCGTTCTTTTTTTTTTGTTTTCGCTCAACGAGGACCGATCTCGATTTGCGCAGGTACTGCTGAGCAGCTCGAAGAACATCGTGAAGGCGAGTGTGTACGATTTTCTCCACGGCTGGTTCGGCACCGGCCTGCTGACCAGCGCCGGCGCCAAGTGGAAGCAGAGAAGGAGGATCCTCACGCCGGCCTTTCACTTCAACGTCCTGAAGAGGTACGTCGACATCGCCATCGAGAACGACGAGAAGACCCTGCAGCAGCTCAAGTCCCTGGGCAAATCGTCCGAGCAGCAGCTCGTGCCGTTTCTCACCAACTTTACGCTCAATGTCATTTGCGGTGAGTCGTTTTTGATATTCTCGTTGTTACGAGTAGCTCTTTTTTGTTGTTGCGATCCGCCGATCGAAACTGGTTTTGTCTTCTTTTTTTTTTGTTGTCGTTGGTGCGCGCATCGATAGAGGCGGCCATGGGCACGGCTTTGGCAGGAAAAGAAAAATTACAGAAAGACTACAAGCAGGCCGTTTTGGACATGGGCGACACGTTCATTTACAGGTGAGCTTTCGCGATCGGTATGGACGAATTAAAAATCGATATCGTGACTCGATTCTTGAGATGAGGATAACAATTACATAAGCGTTGCTTTACTAGACTTCTGAGGCCGTGGTTGAGACAAGACTGGGCCTTTTACATTACGAGCGAGGGTCGTAAGCAAAAACGAGCTTTAGAATATTTACACCGATTCACCTCTAATGTGAGTCTTCTTCTTTACCAAAAAAAAAGTAAATGATAGCGATAAGTAAATATTATGAACTCTTTATCGTCGTAGATTATTAAAGAGAGAATGGATTACCATGAAAAGACAGGCGGCCAGTTTCTGAAAAATTTGAACGAAGACGAGGAGTCCTCGGAGGTCAAGGAAGTTTTTGGACGTGAGTTATTCAGCAAATATAAATTTTCCGAGGTAAAAATTAACTCTCGCAATTAATCTCTCATTACAGTGAAGAAGAAGCGCTTGGCTATGCTCGATCTGCTGATAGCGGCTTACAAAGAGAGCGGCGATCAAATCGACGAGGAAGGCATACGCGAAGAAGTTGACACATTCATGTTTGCGGTGAGTCTGCAATTTCTGCCTATTTTTTTTTCCATACATCTGGCTTTTTAAAGAAAAAAATGTTACTTCATACTGTTCATTATTACAGGGACACGATACAACTGCGATGGGCATGACTTTTGCCCTGCTTCTAATTGCCGAACACAAAGATGTTCAGGTAGAAAATTTGATTTTTAATTTTTTCTTTCGTTTTCTTTGCGTACTGAAACTCATAAAACTTTTCGTATCATGTATAGGAACGAATCAGACAAGAAGTGACCGAAGTTCTGCAAGAGCACGACGGGAAAATGTCAATAACGGTACTGCAGCAGCTGCACTATCTCGAAAGGTGCATAAAAGAATCGCTCCGAATATATCCCAGTGCTCCTTTCGTATCGCGCAGATTAATCGAAGACGTGAAACTCGGTAAATATTTGATCTGTTTCAATAATCTATATAACAGCGCGAAAGTTATTTATAATTCACGGAAAATTTTCATTCTATCTAGAAAAGTATACCATTCCCAAAGGAATAAGTCTTGAAGTACGAATCATAGATATTCACCGAGACCCCAAACACTGGGAGGATCCGTTGAAATTCGATCCCGATCGATTTTTACCCGAAAGATCGCAGGGAAGACACAACTTTGCCTACATACCTTTCAGCGCTGGCCCGAGAAATTGTATAGGTATATATCTATAAAATACATTCATTAAATTTTAGGATAATAGATTTTATTGCTCCGAAATCGTTTCAGGTCAAAAATTTGCCATGCTCGAAATGAAGACATTCATATCACTGATCGTCAAGGACTTCGAGCTGGACATAGTTGACTTTATGGCCCATCAAGTGCCATTGTTGCCGGATATAGTCATCCGACCGGGAAAGCCTATTCACATTAAATTTACACGTATCGACGAGAAATGAACTTTGTAAATACAACATCTAGGATAAATATAAATTAAATAATGCTTTTTGATATATCAATTAAAGTCGATGAATGCGCTGTTAATTTTTTTATATAAACGGCCGATTCTCTGTGAAGTCGAATGGCCAAAAAAATTTTTTTTTTTGCAAATATGAAAAACTTGTTGTATTCGATGTCATATGTCCGAAAAAATTTTTAAAAAAACTGGGGCCTTCTATGACATTTTTTCAGATGCCCAAAGTTGGCCTTTTTAGCGTTTTTTGGAAATTCATTCTTTCTTTAATATAATATTTGAAAATTTTATGTATACATACATACACGACCAATTTTTTATTGCAAAAACTTTGATACAACTTATTTTTATATATTATTTGTATAATTAAAAAAATGAATGTTTAAAAGATTAAACGATTTTGCAACGATTTTTTTTCAATTCAAATTACAGCGTCGGGAGAGACACACAGTAAATTAATACATATTCTGGCAGGAGAGAATGAGAGAAACTAGATAGAATGAGTGAGAAGGCGATATTCACAACAATGAATTCAATTAATTTATTTTTTTCAAATTTTATTCATTTAAATTATATGATAAATGTATAATATTCAATAACAATAGACATTATAGATCTACAATTTATTCTTATCCCCATCACGAGCTTTGCTCGCCAGCTGTCAAGAAAATGTGATACAAGTCTTCGTTCGTTAGATTGTCGAGGACCATGTCACAGCACTCGAGCGGCAGCCGCTTATGTATCAGATCCCAGAAGGGATACAACGTCCAGCTCTGGAAAAATCTTCTGGATAATTTCTCGCACAGATGCGCGACGACACACGCCTCAAACCCTTTTTTGCGGAGCGTCGACAATTTTTTCTTGCTACGGGCGAACTCGAAGAATTCCTTGCAGGTGAATCGTTTTGCCACCTCCTTAGGTCGCAACTGGAGCAGGTCGTAGAGCGACAGACTCGGACTTATCATCGTCTCTTTCGCGAAGATCGTGACCTCCTCGTGGTCCTGCCAATTGAGAACTTCAAGATCCGCCGACTTGACGAACAATTTGTGCTTGGCAAACAGATTCATGATCGTCAGGGCGTCCGTTCGGCTAAGCTCGTATCCTCTAGTCTCGAGGCGCTCGACGACGGCCAAAATGCCAGACGTTACTTTTATGTTTATGCCGTCGTTCGATTCAACGCCGAGGTTGAATCTTCTCTCGCTTGGGAAAACGAAGTTAGACAAGTCGGCGCCGTGATCCAACAGTACATCGACGGTATTCGGCGATAATCTCGCCACGACCCATTCGAGTGGCGTTTGACCGGTCCTGTCCCTCATGTTGATCGACACTGTTTGATGACTATCTTCGTTTATTATCTTTAAGACTACCCCCGCCAAGTATTTTTCGGAGGACATCGAGCAGATGAAGTGCAGCGGCGTCGATTCATCATCTACCTTGGCCAGATTCGGGTCGGCGCCGCGTCTCATCAGCTGCTCGATCATCTTCTTGTTGCTCCACAAAAGAGCCAAGCTCAGCGGTGTCGTACCGTACGAGTCTCTGGCATCGATCTGCAACTGCTGATTTAACTCGTCGTTAACCTTGAAGAACATCTCCACCAAATCTTTGTTGTGGGTTTCAAAAGACATCACGTGCAAAGCAGTATTTCCTACATCGTCAGTCAAATGTGGATCCGCACCTTGCCTCAGCAGAAATTCGGACACTAATTTTTTCTTGAGTTTCAGAGCCAGGTGCAACGGTGTCATACCCTGTTTGTCCTTGGCGTTTAACTGTCCCGAATGGTATTTGGCGTTGCTAAGCTCGAATAACATCCTGAGCGATTCAACGTCGTAATACCAAATACCCATGTGCAGGGGTATATTTCCATCCTTATTGGCTAATGTTGGATTGGCACCTCTTCTCAGCAGCAATCGTGCCACTTCCTCGTTGACATGGCACAAAGCCAAGTGCAATGGCGTGTTACCCTCATTGTCCTGTGCATCGACTAGCACATGTCGATGTTTTTCGTCGCTGATCTGGAACAGCAGATTCGCCAAGTAATTGAATCCGATCATCTTGCAAATGATATGCAGAGCTGTCGATCCCTCTTTGTCGGCCAAGTTCGAATCGGCGCCTTTTCTCAGCAACCATTCGGCGACATCCGTACGTATATTGTCCTTCAGAGCCCAATGCAGTGCCGTCTTACCCTTCTTGTCTTGGGCGTCGAGCGGCAATGGTTGATTTTTTTTGTCGCTGATCTCGAACAGCAATTTCATTAAGGCAATAGGACGATTCATCTTGCATATTAGGTGCAAAGCAGTCGATCCCTCTGGATGGGCCAAGTTAGGGTCGGCGTCTCTTTCAAGCAGCAGCTGTACAACTTTCCTGTGTCCTTTCTCCAGAGCCAAGTGCAGCGCCGTTTTACCCTCCTTGTCCCGGGCGTCGAGCGGCAACGGTTGACTTTTTTCATCGCTGATCTCGAACAGCAGCCTCATTAAGGCCTTAGGACGATCCATCTTGCATATTAGGTGCAAAGCAGTCGATCCCTCTGGATTGGTCAAATTAGGGTCAGCGTTATTTCTCAGCAGCGACCGTACTACTTCTTTGTGTCCTTTTTCCAAAGCCAAGTGTAGCGCAGAATAGCCTGTCTCATGCACAAGCAGATTGGGATCCTGGCCGAGCTCGAGAAATTTCTTGACGACGTAATCGCAGCCGATAGCACAGGCCACATGGAAATGAGTCAGGCCAGACGAGTCGGTGTAATTAACATCGAAATCATTGTAAATTTTAAAAAGCTCACGGACCATGATGTCCTTATTAAGAAATCCGCTCCTAGCCGCATGATGCACTGCCGTAGTTCGACGCTCAAGTGGCTTACCGTCTTGCTCAATTTTAGGCTGGTATTTGTAGCCGCTGTTAGCCACGAATTTAATGAATAGTTCTCCTGGACGATTGTGCCCCTCTTCGTCACGGAAACTAATAGATTTCGCGAGAAGCCAGTCGACTTCTTCGGGCTCAAAAATGTCTTGAAAATCTGGATATTGGCCCTCCCAATCGTTAAATAAGCAGTAAAGTTGACCGAGAAATTCATGTTGATCTTCTTCAATCTCGTAATTGAATTTTTCACGCATATCCCTTAATCTATCCAAGTTTTGTTTGTTCAGATGGTTGTCCACGTTGTTGTAGATGTTCATCGTCTTGTCCACTAAACACACAAGCACAAAGCTGTTTATTATTTATGGGGACATTCCCATTGAAAATGAAAAAAATCCACACATTTTTTTTACGTTAAAACATTCTTCAACATCATAAAAATACTCTGTTAAAATTTTAGAACTTAATTCATAAAGGAAAAAAGTTATGCCCGATTAGGCGAAGCGACTAGCGTGCTCGATATTTACAGAACAAAACTTCGAACGCGTTTTTCTCGAAATCACTTTTTTTTAGCTCTTGCCAACGATTAAGAAAAAACTACAAGTCCAGTCCCTATGTTTTATATCTCTTTTTGATCGTTACAACTTTCTCTACAACACAGACCTCTAAAAAGTTGAAAAAAATCATCTCTAATTTTTTTTATGAAGGTGAATTCACCTCGAAAACAGTACTTTTTCAGAAAAATTGGTGCCAAAATCGTAAAAATTGAAAATATCAACTTTTCACAGGTTTATGTTCTAAAAAAAGTTGTAACGCTTATAATGACATATGAAAGATGAGAATTGGACTTATAGTTTTCTCTCAATCGTTAGCAAGAGCTAAATATGGATTTCAGCAAATTTCATTTGCAGCTATCAAAATGGGTCATAAGTCCCGTAACAATTTTTTTTTGTAGTTTCATATTTAAGGAACAATAACAAAAAGGTCCGGAATTAATAAAATTTACAGTTTTCAAAAAATATATATAAATGCATTTAAACAGTGATTTTTTTTTACTATTTGTAATGGGAATGTCCGAAATTTTTTACTTTTTTCACGAAAATTACTTGCTGCGATCAATGCCGCAACGTGAGTAATTTAGTTGTTCACGCGGCGAAGTCGTAGCGCGTACTGACTGCACTGGACGAAAATTGTGAATTAAATAGTCTAGAGGCCCTCTATCGGTAGAATTACTCTAACAGTGCTGATTCTGAGTGTTGGGGCGGAGCTTATTAGCTCCTGTCAAAATCGCCAGCGTCGGCCACGCGAACTAAATTTTTTCTTATGAGACTTACACTGATAATAAGATTGTATGAAATTTTTTCATAATTATTATTATCTTGAAGCCAACCTTTTATACTAACGCATTGATAATGTACATATGAATACGTAAAAATGACTTTAATTAATAAAAAACAAAAATGATACGTCGGACGACTGTCAAAGTAGCCACCATGTTGTTCTTACTGATTTTGCTGAGCGCCTTACTTTTAAGACTATTTATCACTTAATAAAAATTTGTTTGGGGCCAAAAGGAGTTTTCATTAAAATTTTCATTGAAATTTACAATGTCTATTATTATAGATACAGCATGACTATAGTTGAACACGTGTTGAGCCCTGCACTGCTACATATGCTATTGTTTATTATCAGAGCTCGAGCGGGTAAACTGTCTATACCGATCTGCCTCGAGACTCTGCTCTGTTAAGTGATGCCGTCGCGGGTTTTAACAAAATTAGTCGGGAACTTGAGGATTGTTTTTTTGTAACAGCTTTAATTGAAATAACACTTAAAACTAATTAATAACAAAGAGTATATATAGCACGACGCACTGGTCGATTTGGTAAGTATTACAAACTGTGGTCGAGTGTCGAGCTCTGTAATACGACGACTGACCAGTAAAATTCTGCGGCCGTTACAACGAGTCGCGCTTCTAACATCAACATAAACAAAGTACAATGTGTACAGAAAATAGGCGCGAACTAATTCGAACATTCCGCCCGCCTTGCTGCATACCAGCAATTATAAAGTGTAAGCATTATCCACGATCAACATACAAGTTAAAACAAAATCACAAATCATCTTAGCATAAGTGAAAAAGAGAATACAAACGTAAATAATAAAAATACAAACATAGAAAAACATAGAAAAAAATCATAATTTTATCTTCTCAACTCATGCACTGTCTTCATTAATGCACTCTTGAGCGTCCTGGTCCAATGGAAGTTTCACCAGCTTAACGATCGGTCGCATAAGCTGAGACGAAGCGGTCTTGATCGTGACTACACGCACAAGTCCATCTTTACCAGGGTGCACCTCAGTGACCAATCCAAGCGGCCACCGCGCGGGAGGTGAAAGCTCATCCTTTACCAATACCATGTCACCAATCTTGAAATTTTCGTGCTGGTCGTACCACTTGTTACGCTGCTGCAACTGGTTCAAAACCTCCTTCCTCCAACGCACCCAAAACGAATTACGAAGCTGCACAATCAATCTCCAACGTTCGTTCAAGCTCCTTCTTTGATCTTTCTCACATTTTTCCAATTGAATAAGATACGCAGAGCCGACCAAAAAGTGTCCAGGTGTCAATGCCACTAGGTCATCGGGACAATCGCTTTGTCTGCAGATAGGGCGAGAATTCAGACACGCTTCGATTTGGGCAGCCAGTGTAGATAACTCTTCGAATGTCATCGGTGTATCGCCAATAATCCTTTTGAAGTGATACTTAAAGCTTTTGACAGCTGCCTCCCATAATCCACCGAAGTGCGGAGCTCGCGGGGGTATGAAAGTCCACTCCGTGCCCCGAGACGCAAGTCGTTCCGTGACCGTCGAATAGAAGTCCGAAGCCTCCGTGAACATGCGTGCAAGCTCAGTCGAGGCCTTCTTAAAAGTCGTAGCATTGTCCGAGTAAATTCTCGTGCACACTCCTCGGCGAGCTACAAATCTCGCGTAAGCTGCCAAGAAAGCATCCGTGGTAAGATCCGATACAATTTCAATATGTACTGCCTTCACAACGAGACATACAAAAATCGCTACGTAGCCCTTTGTGCTCTTCGCTCCGCGACCACGCGAGAAAAGCACGGACACTGGTCCGGCATAATCCAATCCAGTGCTTGCAAAGGGTCGCTGTGGAATGAGGCGTTCTGCAGGCAGCGGAGCCATCTGTTGCCTTCCTGTTTGAGCTCGGTATCGTGCACATTTCACGCAGTCGCGATATAGTCCGACGACGATCCTCCTTGCGCCAGTGATCCAGTACTCACGGTGCAACTGCGAGAGCATCAACTGCACGCCCCCATGAAGAGTCAACTTATGAATACCGCTGATCAACCTCCGAACAATCTCACAGCTTCCTGGCAAAATTACCGGGTGTCGCTCGCCGAACGAGAGCGGCGAATTCTGAAGTCTACCACCAAGACGAATAATGCCCTCACGGTCGATGAACGGTGTCAAGCTGCGCAAGTTGCTTCTCTTTGGCAGCGCTTTTCCTTGTTTCATGAGGCTTATCTCTGTCGAGTAATATTCTCGTTGTATAACTTTGTAGCAGGCGATCTTAGCCCACCTGAGCTCCGAGAGAGTGAGAAACGGTCTCATCTGTGACGCAGAATTGCTTCGTCGCGCTCTAGTCCTGCTGAGCCAGCGACCGCAGTACCCCAAAACGCGGGTCAATTTTAGAAAACTTGAATACTTCGTCAATCTTGCAAGCATGGTGTCTTCCTTCTTGATTACCTTCTCTCTTATTTCCTGAGCCACATATGAGTAGTAATGGAGCTCTATAGCGGGACAGACGTCTCCCCCACTCTACCTCCCTTTATAAGTAAAGTTATAACGTATACCTCGCTATAGTTATACATACACACACTCACACAGTCCCGACTATGCTCTTTACAACACACACACACACACACACACACACACACACGCCCGCACACTGTAAAAAAATCCGAAAAAAGCTGGACCCGAGCCGGGATTCGAACTCGGGTCGTCTGGGTGGTAGGCTAGTGCCTCGACCGCGTCACCACTCAAGAGATGTCATACAATGGACCTGAGCATCTCTAGAGTCGCATGCTTGCGTTCGATACGCATCAATAGACGGACGCGGTGGCTTTTACTATCTTGCTTACAGCGTACGCATACACACACATACCAGCATACACACTCACACAGGTCCGCTGTTTTACGATATGTGCTCTTTTAACGTATGCATTGCAATAGTTACCTATATGCCGGTACACACTTACCAATGCACATACAGAGATCTGCTTTATCGATCGCGGTACATATCGATCGCAGTACGCATAAAACGAGCTGCTGCATTGGACTCGCGACACGCACATACCAGCACGCGCATACTACGCACATCTACTATGTATCACATGCACGCGCGACACACATACAATTTACCATACATACGTCGCACACACGCTATGTACACGCACGCATACCAGCACACACATACTACGCACACCCACTATGAACCACACGGACGCGCGACACATATATACGCACTCGGATGCATACATCGTTTACACACTATGTACACACATACTACGCACACCCGCTATGCAGCACACGGACGCGCGACACACATATACGCACTCGGATGCATACACCGTTTACACACTATGTACACGCATACTACGCACACCCGCTATGCAGCACACGGACGCGCGACACACATATACGCACTCGGTTGCATACACCGTTCACACACTATGTACACGGATGCATACCAGCACATGCATACTACGCACACCCACTATGCAGCACACGGACGCGCGACACACATATACAATTCGCATACTACACGCACGGGAGCACATGTTACACACATAGCACGTCAACTGCACACATGTTTCACTTTCCCTGGGATACACCTGTTGCACACTAAGTATTGCTGTAAAAAAAACAATGAACACTTTTTTACGTTGTTGACACTTTTTTTATTTTACGAAGAAATTGGCACATTTATTTTTCAGAAAAAAAATTTATACACAACGTTAAGTCTCTGACACAATTATACACGTTTAAGACTCTTCGCCACTAAACGTTCGCTCTTAGCGTACGTTATTCCATAGCTGAAAAAAAAAAAAATAAAAAATTATTAATTTCAAGTAAAAAAAATTAAAAAAGAAACTGTTAAAATTGTACTCACTTTATGGCATACTCTTTAGCCAGATATCGCCTCTTCCTCTTCATGCGCTGTACCTCCTCCAGATTTTCCTTGGAGGCGCCCGATCGTAAACGCCAGGCAATTAATCGCGACAAGTTCGCTATTTCGCGCCTCTCGGCCTCAGCTTTTAGGCATTCCACAAAAAAATCCTTCGGGAACGTATCTTCCTGTAAAAAAATGTAATATTTATGAAATATATATTGCATTATAATGATTAAAATAACTTACCCCGCCGTTGAATACTTTGACCGCCAAACCATGAGGATCGACGTAGATTTTGAAATAGCTGTAAGTCTCGGAGTTGTCCATGGCTTCGATGCTGACTGACGAATGAGTCGAAAAGCTCGACGAATAAAGCAGCGCACTCTCGGATGAATGGTAAAAAAATCTCGACATAGGACTCTGAGTCATTTTATCAAAAACATGAGCGGTCGTAAAGACTTCAAAAATGACCCTGACAAACGCACAAAGGCTTGTTGTACAAGTTGTAATCATTGACATCGGAGAAACTCCCAAACACTTTTCGAAGAACGATTTGCGCTACGGCAATTGTTTTGAGTTAGGAGCAAGCGCGTTTCGGCATCAGAGGCGAGATAAGCAGGAGGACTTGCGCGACGATTTTATATCTCGAACGAATTCGCCGGAGTCGCCGATGAGGCGAACGAGTTTCGAATGGGTCATTTTTCAGTCGTCGACGACGCGATGGAATTTTTACTTGAATATTATTTTCCGCGAAGTAGCCTCGAGACAATACGCGTGATATTTCGCTCGTTATCATTTTATTTTTATTTTTTAGAGGAGTCGTCGAAGACACTAGGAGGAGCTTTATTATTGAATATGACGGTGTCGTCACTTGTCATTCGATAACTCAAATCACTAGGAGGAGCAATTGTTATGCGTAGGGAGGGATTGTCTCTTATAATACGCTGCTTCATTAAAGAGAGCGTTAGTATCACTTGACAAACAAAAATGAGCGAGTTTAAAAAAGCTGTTATAAAAATCTCGTGCTATTTAAAAAATAGCACGAGAGAAGCGCGTAGACGTTTACGTGATAAGAGTGAAAATCAACTGAAAAAAGAAATTATAACTCTGATTTCTCGTTGTGGCCTGCGAAAGACTGCTAATATTTATAAAAAATTTTTCAAAACCTCGGACTCTATGCTGGTTTTATTATACAATTTTCTGAAGCGACGAGGATTGTTACATACGCATCATGCTTCGGCGATAAGAGATGATTACAGATCTCGTATCGGTAAGTACCTTTTTTATATATTGTTTTTATGTTTTTTTTTTGCTCGTTATCAAAAAATGTTACATCGCCGTGCGTTTTTTAGGGGCAGATCACGATGCCTGTCGAGCTATACGGATTTTCTCGAGCGAGCAGCGTGAGTAAAAAATTATCGTGTGTATACTCGTTGCATTTATTAACTTTGTGCTTTTATAGATGACCAGGCTTCGACAAGCCGACAGGTCGGAGGAGGCTCGCGGCGTTTTACAATTGAAGGAGAATCTAGCTTTTTCTCGAAGCGGTTTCAAGCAGAAGCGAAGAAAATTTCGATAAAAATGCTGCCCCCCGAGAGTGAAATTTTACCATGGCTCGAGTGTGCTGTGAATGATATTTTCGAGTATGTTAGAAGTAAGGCGACATCGGAAAACTCGCGAATAGGCTTGAGCATAAGCAGCAAACATCTTTTAAGCGGCAGCGCCGGCCTTTCGATAAGGCCTATAAAAAATTTTTCAAGCAAAGATTTAGTCGATTTAATTATGGGATTGGTTCAGTCCAATACCTCGTTTTACATCGACGAGCCCTTCGACTTGCATACTACATACATCGACGTGCCTCACGGGCTCGGTCGTAAAAAGCAGCCGCTGGATATTAATACAGTGACGAAACGCTCTATAGTCACGATAAAAAACGATGACGATCTTTGCCTGCCTAGGGCATTGATCGTTGGTGAGGCGTATCTATCGTATCGTGACGATATAACCGCAGAAGCTAAAAAGAAGTGGGAAAAAGTCAGAGACGGGCGTTATAGTCATCAGCGTGAATTAGCTTTGCAGCTCGTGCGAGACGCGTGCGTTACAATGGACGGGCGGGGTGCTGGTTACGACGAAATCGTGCAGTTTCAAACGCACTACGATAAGAAAAAAATTAGTATCGTGGCTTTTGACAAAATAACATATGGGGATGGATCGAATCCTTTTTTCGACGGTAGAAAACCTGGCAATGATAAGGTCATCCATCTTTTGTACGACGGACGTGAAAAGCATTTTGACGCTATAATAAACCCTGTAGGTGTCGTGAAAGATCCATATTTTTGTACTTTTTGTAATATTCGTTATAGGAGTATAAATTCTCACGTTTGCGAGAAAATTTGCGACGCGTGCTTTCAGCAAGGAAAATGCGATTCTTCGGCTGAAAAAATAAAATGCGAAAAATGCTATCGTTACTTTTACGGTGTAAATTGCCTAGCGAAACATACCGTCAAAAATAAAAAATACTCGTTATGCGATACTGTAAAAATTTGTCAGCAATGTTTCACTGTTATCAACACCCTTCGAGCTTCTCACGAATGCGGTGTACATTATTGCGAGCATTGTAAAACGAAGCACAGTCCGAATGAATTGTGCTTTATGCAGCCGATAAAGGAGACCGATCGAAATAATTATAAATATTTGTATATTTTTTTCGATTTCGAGACTCGTCAGGATACAGCGTACAAAAACCACCCCTCGACTACTCAACACATTCCTACCCTGTGTGTCGCGAATCAAGTTTGCACCGATTGTTTACAAAACGACGAAATGAAAAACATGTGCGGTACCTGTGGTATTCGCGAATACGTATTTCAAATCGACCCCGTTGGCCAGCTGTTGGATATCGCTATACGTGAAAAAACAAAATTTAAAAAAATCCTGTTACTCTCGCATAACGGAGGGTCATATGACATCCAATTTTTATTGAAAAGACTGCTAGAGCAAACGAATTTAAATCGTCCACCGAGTGTAATTCTTAACGGCCGTAACATAATTTTATTGCAGTACGGTCGCACCGTTTTTATAGATAGCCTTAATTATTTTCACATGAAATTGTCGTCTCTACCTACTGCATTCGGCTTACCCGCGAGTTCAAAAAAAGGATATTTTCCACACTTTTTCAATACACTAGAAAATAAAAACTATATCGGGCCGATGCCTGATGCTTCTTTTTACGGACTCGAGACAATGTCGACCGACGAGCGAGAAAATTTTTTAGCTTGGTACGAAACAGCGCGTGAACAGATTTTCGATATACGTAAAGAAGAAATCGAGTACTGCAAGATGGACGTGGAAATATTGCGACGAGCCTGTTTAGAATTTCGTAAAATAATGCTAGATCTCGCGGGGGTCGATCCGTTCGTACAAGCCACGACCATAGCTTCGGCTTGCTCTTACATGTTTAGAAAAAAATATTTAAAAGAAAACACTATAGCTTTGATCCCTCCAGCTGGCTATAGGCGTTGCGATACGCACTCGCAGATCGCTATTGAATGGCTGCTACTTTGCGAACACGAGCTCGGGCGTGAAATCATCCATGCAGGGCGTTCGCGCGAGCATTGTCTTATCGAGGGCTATAGGGTGGATGGTTATCTAGGGCCGACCGAAGGGAGCCCTAGAGGGACCGTGTTTGAGTTTCAAGGATGTTATTTTCACGGTTGTGTAAAATGCCACCCCTCGGGTCGCGATAGAGTAATGTTTAATAATAGGACGCTCAACGAATCTTACGAGCGGACAAAAGTCAAAATTGACCGTTTGAAAGCCCTTGGTTATACCGTGCGGCAAATTTGGGAATGCGAATTCGAAAAAATAAAGCGAAATGTCCCGGGCGTTTCGGAGATTATCGACAATCACCCTCTTACATCCAATATAAAGCTCAATCCGCGCGATAGTTTTTTCGGCGGCAGAACCGAGAATTTTGCGACTCATTACGATGTTAAACCGGGCGAAAAGATAAGATACATAGATGTATGCTCTCTGTATCCGTACGTATGCAAGTATGGTAAATATCCTCGTGGTCATCCAATCATATACGTAGGCGAAGAGTGCTCTCAGTTAACGGGTGGCGACGCGAATAATTTGGCGAACGTCGAAGGGCTCGTAAAGTGTAAAATTCTTCCTCCCCGAGACTTGTACATTCCTGTCATACCGGTCAAAATGAATTCTCGCCTCATGTTCGCGCTCTGTAGAAGCTGCTGCGCCGAGTCGATAAAGGGCGACTGCCCTCACGAAGACGTAGAAGATCGCGCATTCTCAGGTACGTGGGTGGCTGATGAATTACGTAAGGCCATTCAAAAAGGTTACAAAATTTTGAATTTGTACGTTGTGTGGCAGTATGAAATTATTCAATACGATAAAAGTAAAAATTCAAAGGGCCTTTTTACAGAGTACATCGATACGTTTTTAAAATTTAAACAAGAGGCGAGCGGCTGGCCCGCGTGGTGCGAGAGCGAAAACGACAAAATTCGATATATTTCCGAGTACAAGGCTGCCGAAAATATTTCTCTGGACCCTGATAAGGTCGCAAAGAATCCAGCCCTTCGCGCTTTCTCTAAATTAGCTCTCGTATCATTTTGGGGAAAGTTCTCACAACGACCTTGTTTATTAAGTACCACCCTTATAAAGACTCGCAAAGATTTGCTCGAGTTATTAACGAGTCCTGACAAAGAGACGCACGACATCGTTTTACTTTCGGACGAGACGATATACGCGCAGTGGAAGTACAAGGAAGAGGCCGAAAACGCGACCTGTTATACAAATGTAGTAATTGCTGCTTATACCACAGCTCAAGCACGATTGGTTCTTTATGAATATTTGGAAAAGTTGGATAGACGCGTTCTGTATTGCGATACTGACTCTGTAATTTATACCTCTGCAGCGGGCGAATACGAACCTCCCCTCGGTACAGCTCTTGGCGCGATGACCGATGAGCTAGAATCGTACGGTAAAGATACGTATATTCGATCGTTCGTCTCAGGTGGGCCAAAATTTTACGCGTACGAGGCCGTTACACCCTGTACGGGAGAGCTTCATCGTTGTTGCAAAATTAAAGGAATCAGTCTCAATCACGAAAATTCTAAAAAAATTAATTACGAGAGCGTTAAACGAATGATTCTCAGGATGTACGACGACGAGTGCGAGGACAATAGCATAACCGTTGACTTTAGAGCTATAAGACGTACAAAGACTCACGATATTGTATCTAGAGACGAAAGTAAACGATGTTGTCCTGTGTTAAAAAAAAGGCGCTTCATCGATAGCGCGCTTTCGTTGCCTTTTGGTTTCAAAGACTCTCTGTAATTGCTATACACCTCGCTTCAATAAAGAATTGTTTTCACCATAAAGAATCATTTTTTGTCATTTTCATCCCCCTGCGTTCCCTTCACCCCCCTCGCGTTTTTGCGGCCCCGCGCGCTTCTTTCCTTCGCGTTTTTTTCTCCGCGCCTCCTCGCGTTTTGATTTCGCCGCCGCCGCCGCCGCCGCCGCCGCCCCCGCGCGAAGGGGAGCCGCGTGAAGGGAAAAGGGCGCGAAGGGGAAGGGCCGGGGAGCCGCGTAAAGGGAAAGGGTCGCAGTCGTCGCGATGCAGCTCGAGCATCCGTTTACCTGCTGCGTTTGCGGTCCCTCCTGCAGCGGGAAGTCCGTTTGGGTCAGCCGTTTTTTAAAACACCTAGACAAGATGTGCAACGCGCGATTCGACAGAATATTATTCTATTACGGCGAGTGGCAGGATAGCTACCGCGCGAGCAATCTACCCATCGAGTTTCGCGAAGGTTTACCTCAGCCCGAAGATTATTCGCGCGACAACGAGAAGAAAAAATTGATAATTCTCGACGATCTCATGCGCGAGTCTTCCAACGCCGATGTACTTGATTTATTTACCAAAGGGAGCCACCACAAAAATCTGAGCGTGATTTTCTTGACGCAAAACGTCTTTCATCAGGGAAAAGGCCAGCGCGATATAAGTCTCAACACAAAGTACATCGTGTTGTTTAAAAATCCGCGCGACAGAGCTCAAATACGGCATCTGGCACAGCAGGTCTTCCCGGAAGACCCGAAATTTCTCGTCGAAGCGTACACGGATGCTACGCGCGAGCCGCACTCTTATCTGTTTCTCGACCTCACGCAGTCTACGCCGGACGAGCTAAGATTTCGATCGTGTATCTTTCCCGACGACGATAAGAATTACGCGTACGTTTCGAAGAAAACCAAGATACCGTATAAATGAGCAGTGCATCGTGTTGCGAGGGCAGTATCGAATGAGCAATGTCCAAGTGCGTTCCTTGCGTGAATAAAAGGCACGCCGCATTATTGACGGCGCTCGTTCACAGCGACTCTAAACAACGTCTCGCATTGCTTAAAAACGCCGACGACTCGTTCGTTCGTTGTATTTGCGAGTGCGCGCTGAACGTTCTGCGCGGAAACGTGCCCGTAAAAAATAAAAACAAATTGCGCAAGCACAGGTCGATATTGCGTAAGCTGATAAAACCCGGCAAAGACTGGAGTAAGAAGAAGCGCGTAATAGTGCAGACCGGTGGAGCTTTCCTCCCTAGTTTGCTCGCACCTATTATAGGCGGCTTGATAGCGCGATTGATAAAACGATAATGGAGCGCGGCAAAAAAATGATCGTGCTACCCGAAGATACGTACGAGCGTCTGCGAGCCCCGGCCACCCCTGCCGCTTCACCTACCCCTGTCGCTTCACCTGTCGAGGGTAGCATGCAGACACCCGGTGATAATCTCTCGAGGCTCGACGCCTCGCTTTACAAGATCATGCATTCGAGCACCGACGAGTACGAAAAATGTAAAAATTATTTACAGACGCTTCGGCGCTACTTGTTTTTTGCTCGTAAGGAGCAGATGGCTGACGAGGACGAACCTTCCGATGACGAGCTCGCGAAGCCTATGCCAGTGTCCGAAATCATAGCCTCTTTGCCAAAAGCTCAGAGGCGCGACGCAAATTTATTATTGAATCATTTGCTCTCCTCGAATAGAATCAAGTGGGATAACGCCGGTGTCGTCAAGATCGATAACGCTGTGATAAATAACTCGAGTATCGCCGATCTGATACAGCGCGTGCTAAAAAAATCGGCTACCGCGTTTTTCGAGCCTTCGTCGCCCGCTGGACAATTGGAGATAACTCGTCTGCTAAAAGACACGGAAACCCCCCTCAAATTAATTAAAAACCCGTTCATGGCTCAACTCTTTGATCGATCTAAAAATAGACAGCAGCTTGCTCCCCGCGTAACCGGTAATAAAAGTAAAACACAGCCCCGCGACGACGCAGTCCTTTCAAAAGTTCCCCGCGTAGCGGTGCTAGAAAATCTCGCTTTACACGACAGACGTCGCCTACGCCCGCGTGCTCGTGCCGGAGAGCAGCAGGGTGGCTCGCGGTGGTTGAAGCTCGCTTAATAATCATGGAGTTGGAAAAGCAGTATTACGACCCGTCCAACGAGGCTGGCTTCGCAGGTGCTCGTCGACTTTTAAAGGTTAACGCTAAAAATCAAGCTCTCGACGAGAAATCGCGCGAAAAAATTTTACGCTGGCTCGATGCTCAAGACGCGTATACGCTGCACAGGCCAGCGAGACGCAAATTTCCGCGCCTGCGCTACGATGTCACAAACATCGACGATGTCTGGGAGTGCGATTTGATGCAACTCACAACGATTAAAAAGGACAATGACGGCTATTGCTACTTGCTTGTCGTCGTAGACGTACTTAGCAAGTACGCGTGGGTGGAGCCTTTGCGCGACAAAAGCGGTGCCACGGTTTTGCAAGCGTTCAAAAAAATTTTAGCCGATAAAAGATCTCCGCAGCTGCTTCAATCGGACAAAGGATCGGAGTTTCGCGGTGAAGCGTTTCAAAAATATTTAAAAGAGCGGGGTATAAACTTTAGATTCGTTAGAAACCCCGATGTCAAGGCCGCTGTGGTGGAGAGATTGAATCGTACGTTACGCGAGCGTATTTGGAGATATTTGACGTACTCGAATTCCAAAAGATACATAGACGTTATTCGCGATATAGTAACGGCATACAACAACTCGGTACATAGCTCTACGAAAATGCGCCCGAGCGAAGTCACGCTCGACGATGTACCGATCGTTCGTGAAAATTTGCTGAAGCGCTCCAGACAGCAGAGCGCAAATCGTAAAAAACAGCCGAAAAAACCAAAGTACAACGTAGGCGCTCACGTGAGAATCAGTCGTTATAAAGCCACGTTCGAGAAAGGATATTCGAGTAATTTTACCGAAGAAATATTCCGAATCAAGCGCGTAACCCTTCGCCAGGAAATTCACACGTACATTCTCGAGGATTTAAACGGCGAAGAAATCGACGGTTTTTTCTACGCGGAAGAATTGGCTCGCGTGAGCGACGAGCGTCTTACGGACGAGCGATTCAAAATCGAAAAAGTCATTCGCACGAGGGGTAGCGGGGCCCGCAAACAAGCCTATGTCAAGTGGAGCGGCTATCCAGACTCTTTCAATCAGTGGATTAAATATTCCGAATTAACGAGCGTATAAACAATGGAGACGCTCGACGATTTTTACCTAATATTACCGAGCAACAGCAGCATGGCTTATTTTTCCGATAACGCGATATCGCATTTTACAACGCAGCTGCCGAAAGAGATTAGATTGAGCGGTGACAATTGGTCTGTCGGGCTTGTAGAAATTCACGTACCCAATACGATCGAGCACGTCAGCGACGAGGAAGCAGCCTATTCGTTCGATAATTCAAGAGGTAACGTTTTACATCGCTTCAAGTCGGGCAACTTTCAAAGCCTCGAAGACTTGATAAAGTCTATCAACGATTCGCCGGATTTTTCAGAGCATCTCGAAATCGCGCCATCGCTCATCCGATCCGGCTATTACTGCATCGAGCGCATATGCTCGTGTACAAGAGATCACGAAGTAATTTTTCATAACAAAATACTGGACGTTCTCGGTTTTGAACGAGCACCTCGCATGATTTTATCGCCAACTAGCAACCGTGTTATCGAGGCAACTCGTCCAGCATCGCTCGTATTACCGGTCAACGATCAGCTGTACGTCTATTGCGACGTTTGCCTTCCCTCATTCGTCGGCGATACTCAATCCTCTCTTCTGCGTATAGTCACGCTCGACACTTCGAAAACGTCGTTTGGGCGTAGCATCGTTCGATATTTCGCTCCGCCTCATTACGTCCCGGTCCTGCATCGCAATTTTCAAACGATATCGCTCGATATAAGAACGTCTCACGGCCTTAACCCCCCATTCACGTCCGGGACTCTCCTCTGTACGTTACACTTTAAAAATAACAATTAAACATGTCGATGTACCTCTACTACTACAACGATCAAGTAGGCGGGGGCATTCGCAACATCTACGTAGGAGCGCCAAGACAACGTGGAAAAGGGGTGGGGGCCTGGTTGGGCGGCTTATTTAGAACGATTATACCATACATCAAGAGTGGGGCGAAAGCCGTAGGCAAAGAAGCCGCAAGAGCGGGAGTTCAGATTTTAAGCGATATATCGCGTGGTGATATGTCCTTGCACGAATCCGTGCGCGCGCGCTCCAGAGAATCCGGGCGGAAGCTCGCTAAGAAAGCGGGCGAAAAATTAAGTAATATCATGAAGGGTCGTGGGTATAAAGTACGACGTAAAACCCGCAGCGGTCAGTCGAAGAAGAAACGTTCTTCGGTGCGGAGGATTAAAAATAAGACGATCAGGCGTAAAAAACCCAACAAGAGAAAAAGAAAAAATAATAAAAAACGCGACGTTTCAGATATATTTTCATAATGGCATTTCTGCATTCGCACTCCTCCGAGTGTATGACGAGCTCGCTCGATCTATTCAGTCTACCACCCACTCAAACCTCGATCGAGAGCAGTAACTATGTACATTTCAAGCCTATATCGTCTCTCTCCGGAGATAATGACGCGCCGATCGAATTTGTCGTTCCTGCGGCAAGCGACTACTACTTGGACTTGGCTCATACGATGCTACATGTCAAGGTTAAAATTGGGCCTCTACAGGATGTCGCGGCTGATAATCGTCAAGTAGGCCCCGTGAATAACTTCCTTCATAGCATTTTTTCGCAAGTCGAAATTTTCTTCAACCAGAAGCTGGTGTCATCGAGCAATAGTTTATACCCGTACCGAGCCTATATCGAGACTCTGTTAAACTACAACAACGATGCAAAAGGCTCGCATTTAACGGGGAGTTTGTGGTACGTGGATCAGACCGGTAGATTCGAGGCTGCACCCCAAGAAAGAAACCCGGATCAAATGAATGCGGGTCTCGTGCAAAGACAATCGTTCACGATCGATTCAAGGCCAGTCGATATGATCGGCCACTTACACTGCGATGTCTTTAATCAGGATAAAATGCTAATAAACGGTGTCGAAATGCGCGTCCGCATGGTAAGAAGCAAGGATGCGTTTTGTCTAATGGACTCAACGGCTGATGGTAGATTTAGAGTTAACATCGAAGAGGCCACCCTTGTCGTGAGACGAGCAAAAATTTCCCCGGGCGTCTTGTTGGCTCACGCAAACACGTTGGCTCAAAGCACCGTAAAAATGCCTTTAACAAGAGTGGAAATAAAATCATTTACACTGCCGGCGGGTATATTGAATACGACCATAGACAATCTCACCCTCGCACAAATCCCAAAGCGCGTTATCTTAGGGCTCGTGGACAATCGCGGGTTCAACGGAAATCGAGCTTTCAACCCGTTTAATTTCCAACATTTCGACTTGAATTATTTAACTCTGTATGTCGACGGTGTTCAGGTTCCTAGCAAAGCTTTACAACCGCGCTTTGGTAATTCACCCCTATACATAGAGGCTTTTCAGTCATTATTCACGGGCACGGGTATACATTATCAGAACGAGGGGAACGGTATCAATCGAACAACATATCCGGCAGGTCATTTTTTGACGGCGTTTGACTTGACGGCTGACTTTTCGGCTAATCTCTGCACTCACTGGAATTTAGTGCGCACAGGGTCGCTGCGTTTGGAATTGGGCTTTGAAAATGCTCTTGTTGCAACTGTGAACTGTATAGTATTTCTCGAATACGACAACATCATCGAGATCGATAGCAATCGCTCAATAGTGACAGACTTCTCGACTTGAGGCTCCTATAAAAAAAATCGACTCTACAAAAAAAATCGCATCATTCGCTCAATATCTCTTCGATACAAGCGCGATACCAAACGGCAGCGAGTTATGTTTCATGAACGGGGAGTAGGAGGAACAGTAAAACGCCCAGCGCGTAAGTCCGTCACCGCCTCTCGTGCCTCGTATATAAAGGCGACTCTACGCGTCATTCATCCATTATACGACGAGTAACGCAAAATGGATTATATAATTGACTTGCAGGGGTACGTATGCCCTGACGGAAAGTTTTTACCTAAAGAAATCGCCGTGGTTTCGTTGCTGCTGCATTCGGCATCGAGCTGGATAATATCTCCGCCCGACGATTACCTCAACTACAGCGCTGAAGTAAGAAAGTGCATCGAGTTATACTCACAAAGAGTGCACGGTATTCAGTGGACGGAGGGAAGTGTGTGCGCTGATAAATTGTACGAACATCTAAAAAATATTCTGCTATCGGCGAATAATATTTATATCTACGTCGATTCGCCATCGAAGGTACAATTTTTAGAAAACCTTTTGGGCCGTAAGGTTGTGAACTTGTGCCAGTATCTCTGCCCAACCTCGTCGATATTAATGAGAGAGTTTGATTTTAAAACAACCTGTCTAGAGCATATGCTAAAAAGTGAAGTAAGACTAAGTCGTGAATTTCAGTGCGCTCTGAATAACTGCCGTTTGTATAAAAGGTGGCTTATACAAGTGACGCGCGATCATATTAGACCGCGCAATGAGATCGAGAGCGACACGGTCTACGCTGCGCTAAGAAATCATCTTCGTCAAAACAACGAGGACGCTGTGCTCGAGCTATCATCCGACGACGACGAGCCTGAAGAATTTTTCGGTATCAACGCCGTCGACCTGAATCCACCTGAGAGAGCAAGATTTTTCGACGATCGACCTGATGCAGCACCGCCTGATAGATTAATTCGCTAGTGTGCATAATAACAAAAAAAATGAATACGCGCGAAATCGAGCGTGCTTTAAGCGGTATAGACTGTAATTCCGTTGGTGTGTATGCGGCTGATAGGGTGCCACATAATGTATCGCTACCCGCGTGCTTGGTTATGAATTGCGATACAAGTGAGAAACCCGGTTCCCATTGGACCGCATTGTATATCAATAAATATGCATCGGGGATATATTTTGACTCTTTTGGATTACCTCCGACCAATACACACCATAAAGAGCGCATACACAGAATTTGTAAAAAAATAATATACAACTATAAAAGCCTTCAAAGTCTTGACTCTGCTGTATGCGGCGAATACTGTATTTTCTTTCTATATCATATAAGCAGAAATAACAATTTGAACGAATTTCTTAATTATTTTACCTCTGATACTCGTCGAAATGATGACATAGTACGAACATTTTATAAGAAATTAATTAACAAAAAGCAGAAAAAACATAATGTAAAAATGTTTTTAAATGAGAATAACATTGGATACGGCGTTCAGAATTGTAGACCAAAAATGTAATTTTTTTATATACAAATTAATAAATTTCAAACAAAATAAAAAACATATAAATATGATATGCAAATTTTATTATTTATAAAAAAAACCTTCCACAACGATGGCTATTTTCGAGCAATGCTTTTTAACGTCAGATTCATTTTTTACTTCATTTTTTCATAAAAAAAATCTGTGCAATTTACGATCGGTTCAAGTAAATGATTCTCAAAAAAAAAAAATATCTCATTTCCAGCATAGTATTAATTGCAGCAACACTACAAACTCCGTCGATAATTGCAACAGTTCAATGATTTCCAAAATTCAATTTTAGCATCGTATTAACAGCAGCGTCAGTGCACATTCATTTAATAATATGCTACGTGGGCGGATATCATTCAACGGTTTTTTCGGCCAACTTCATATAGATTGCAAAACAAAAATCAGCTCATATCAAATTCGTTCGAGCACGGCTAAATGATTCGCGCCGATGGAAAAATCCTATGGACAGTTCCGGCATCATATTAATTGCAACGTAAAAATCACTTCGTGTTAAATTCATTTGATAATCGAGTAAATGATTCAAGGAGATGACATTCTTCGGGCGGCATCATATTAATTTGCGGTACGGCGAATAATCGATAAAAAATATTCCTGGTACCAAAGGCCCTCGTTATCGCGGGTCGCGTTACATTTTTTCCGTGCGCAAAAATCACGTGAACAATTTCAAAGTTGTTATTCGATCATTTCTTTCATTGCTTGTCCCGCAGGAAGAGCCGTATTTATATCTCAGCATATCTAATTTGCATTCCAAGAGAAGCGCTCGAGTCAAATATTACCGCACACACATCCTGAGGTACCCTTTGTTAAATATAAGATAACTGGAGCTTCGTTGTTCTGTCAACGATGGGTAGGGTGGGGATACCTCTTATATATAATAACGATCCGAAGCATCGGCTAGTCATTTAAGTTTCACACTTGAAAGTACGCGCTTAGTTCTTCGACGTAAAGAAATAAAGTTCCTTTTCTGTCAAGATGTCTGGTAAAAAATCAATTGAATCGTGTGTTCTCCTTCGATCTACTACCTACCCTTTAAACGCCTCGTGTACAAAGGTGGGTACGGTCGGTCTGGAATTCCGAAATGGGGCATACAAACCGGCGGTGCAGATATCAAACGCTCAAAATCTATACAAAGGAATAGTGCTCGATCGCGACGCGTGGGAAATGATTCGTAGCAATATACATAAAATGATAGTGTATACCTACGGATTTTCTCAAGATGATCAAGTCGCATACACGCCTGAAAGAGCAGAAATAAACGGATACGCGCTCGAATATACCACTGCGTACAAATTAAAAACAGTGCAGCTTACGCGTAAAATATTCGAGCCTCTACCGGGAAAATGCGTGAACATGCTCAAAAATATCGACAACAAAGCAACAGCTTCAGAGGAAACTGTTAAGCGTAAGTAAATTTCTGTTCTATATACGATTTTACCTTTTTTTATATTACAAATATTATCATTATCGCAGTAGAGACAGCAAACGAGGTATCATCCCCAACCTTGCCCGACGACCCCAAGAACGCGATTCCCGGTGCGATGCAGATTGATGACGCATCTAACGATACAAGTAAGTTTCAATTTTTTTATGATTAAAAACTAATAAAAAAAATAATTAAATTAATATTTAAAAATTTATTCCAGAACGCAAATCTCCATTGCCGCTTGAATCTAACACCAAGAATATCAAAAAACGTGCTGTCCTAGAGAGCAGAGATGAGTGCGGCCCCTTCCGCGATATACCGCCTCAGTTTCAAACGGAGGAAATTGAAAACCCTATAAGAAGCTCGCTGTCGATCTGGAAAGGTATGGAGGAAAATATCGACGAGTCAAAAGCCGTAAAACATGTAGACGTTATCATACCTTTAACGTTGCAAAGCATCTTTTTGCAAGGTGCAACAATCAGGGGGTTAAACAATATAATTAACGCCATAAATAAACAATTTGATAATTTGGAACGTTTAGCTACATTTTATACGCGTATACTTAATTGGGTTGCTGTTTATAATTATGAAATACTTATAAAAGAAACTCCAGAGCATCAAATGCTTATATTAAATAATTGTGTAAATTTTAAAGCATTTTACAAATTTCATATGTCAGGCATTAATAGAATTGTAGCATCTAGATTGATGAACGAAAAAGATATGCCTAATGATATGGGCAATGTGTATGAAATTTTTCTAGAAGAAATCCGCGCTTTCGGCTTAGATCATGTAGTGCATCATATACGCGAGCGATATGCATTGCGAAAAAGCCAAGTAGATTTAAGTAAGAAAAAATAAATTTTGTTCGACATCTTATAAAAAATTATTCACATACGCGACCACTGCTCAAATAAATATGTATAAGAAAACACTTGGTCGACATATTATAATAACTTTTTTCAGAATATAATTATTTACTGCTCAATCATAAAAAATTTTTATTTATTTCTACCCTACTTTCCACAATTATCCCCAAACTAAAAAAAAATAACGCCAGTAGTACATTTTGACAATAATATTAAACTTTTTATTGAAAATTTGCATTTACATTGTAAAACATTCTGATATTCATTTTTTAAAAGTCGTCATTCTTTCTTTATTATCTACACTGCATGACGGAGCATACGGCAGAAAATAGGTTCGTACTTTCATTTCTTCCTTTCTGGCGGCTTCTTTTGCAACGATTTTATTCCAATCTTCGCTCATATTTTTACTTCTCCATACTTCTCTCACTGATGCGTGCTTCGCGACTCTTTGAGATGTGTACTTATCCCATTCGGCTGAATCATTTTTATAATTCCATACTTGCTTAGTTGCTTGCTGGCCATAGTTTTGACGCGGCGGTGAATCATTATCGAAGCCATAATTCGTGTTGCCTGTTTTACCACTCGATTGATTATTACCCATCCTCTCAACGGAGATTATCGGTATGAGCAGGATTATGTTCCACGGTAAATACCGTTTTCGTATATTTAATATTTGTTTTATCCGGAGCCGGGCTTGTTTTTTCACGACTACACGTTTGTTCCGCACTGTACTTTAATTGCGAGGGTTCCAATAAGCAAGTTCGCTCTTCTTTCGAACCTCTGATTGTTGGTTTAAATTTAAACATCCTCGTGTCGCGATCCAAATGATGATCGAAAATTTGAAAACCACTATTTATACTTTTTTTTAAAATAATAAGAGAGGGGATATTATACAGCATCTCGCGCCTTTTACGCAATAATTTAGCGTTTAAAATAAGTATATTTTCTACTTTCCACAAAAGGGTTAGTGCTATACTTTAAACCATTTCCCGTATGATCTCTGACAACAACAATTTGACTTTTCGGATTTCCATACTGCGATATTTTTGCAAATAATTTTTCCTTAGCTTCTCTAGAAAGCGATAAATTACTGGCCTGATACATTTTTTTCCGATTTTTAAAATAACAATTTTAAAAATTTGGAAAAATAATAACAGAATTCTCCAAATGATATAAAGCTTTTAGCTTGCACTACAACGTACAAAAATACTATACATGCGCTCGAATGGGCACCCGTAATTAAGCCTTGTCGGCAACAGATCGTTTATGCGTACTACGATCGATATGTACCGCGATCGATAAAGCAGATCTCTGTATGTGCATTGGTAAGTGTGTACTGGCATATAGGTAACTATTGCAATACATACGTTAAAAGAGCACATATCTTAAAACAGCGGGACTGTGTGAGTCTAGAGCTGGTCAGATCCATTGTATGACATCTCTTGAGTGGTGACGCGGTCAAGGCACTAGCCTACCACCCAGACGACCCGAGTTCGAATCCCGGCTCGGGTCCAGCTTTTTTCGGATTTTTTTACAGTGTGCGGGCGTGTGTGTGTGTGTGTGTGTGTGTGTGTGTGTTGTAAAGAGCATAGTCGGGACTGTGTGAGTGTGTGTATGTATAACTATAGCGAGGTATACGTTATAACTTTACTTATAAAGGGAGGTAGAGTGGGGGAGACGTCTGTCCCGCTATAGAGCTCCATTACTACTCATATGCGTCTACTTCTTTCTTCTTCAAAGCTTGATCTGTTGAAGCAGGCCAATTGGAGCTCGCCGAGCCAAGCCAAGCTGGTCCCGTCCACCACAACTCAAATGTAGACGCCTGAGCAGGCGTGAGTCCCCTAGTAGCACAATCTGCCGCATTATCCTCCGACACGACATGATGCCAAACTGCCTCTGGGAAAGCTGAATTTATCTCGCTGACTCTGTTCGCTACGAATGTTTGCCAACGCGATGGGTGACTGTTTAGCCAATCCAGTACAACTTTAGAATCGCACCAGAAATGAATCTGTTCCGGTTGCGTATCCATGTTTTCCAAGACCTGTTTAGTCAACTTGACCAAAAGAGCAGCCCCACACAGCTCCAACCGAGGCAGAGTCTCCAGCTTTACTGGGGCGACCTTTGTTTTTGCCATAATTAATGTCGCCTTTTTTCCTGGGATCACCATATAGACCGCCGCAGCGTAGGCTCGCTTTGAGGCATCCGAGAAACCATGCAGTGTCCAAGCACCAACTTCAGGCCCGCCGAACCATCGTGGAATTCTAATCTTCGAAACATCCTTCAGCGACTCACGAAATCGCTGCCACCTGAGGGAAATCTCACCCTCGAGAGGGGTGTCCCAATCAAGTTTTTCAATCCAGAGATCCTGAAGTAAGATTTTTGCCGTGATTATCACCGGAGCCAGCCATCCTAATGGGTCAAAAAGCTTTGCCACGTCGGAGAGTATGTTCCTCTTGGTGATCACTTGTGGCATCGGAGCTAGCGAGGATACAAACAAAAATTCGTCGCTCCGTGGGCACCACTTCAGGCCCAGCGTCGACACCACGTCCTCCAATTCGACAGAAACTTTTTCGCCGTTGTCTGTAGCAATATCACGCAGCAGCACAGCCTCGTTGGCCGACCACTTGCCAAGCTCCATACCAGCGGTCATCATCATTTTTATAAGTTGATTTCGGCGATCGATTGTTTCATCAATCGCATCTCCTCCACCGAACAAGTCGTCGACGTACACCCGGTGATCCAATAAACGAGCTCCCTCTGGGTATCGTTCACGCTCATCCGCTGCAAGCTGCTGAAGGACTCTGAGAGCCAAAAACGGAGCCGGGGCGGTGCCGTATGTTACTGTAAGCGCTCTATAATCCTGTACCGGCTGTGATTTTGTTGAGCGCCAAAGTATGCGCTAGTAATCGGTATCGTCTGGGTGCACCAATATTTGTCGAAACATCTTGACGATGTCCGTGACGAAGACAAATCTGAAGAGACGCCACCGGGAAATCACTGACGTGACGTCCTTTTGCAGTTTTGGGCCGGTCAACAAAGTCTCGTTGAGCGATACTCGGTTCGCAGCCTTCTGCGAAGCATTGAAAACGACTCTGATCTTGTCCGAATTCTCCGATTTAAACACTCCATGGTGCGGCAGATAAAAGCTCGGAGCCGAGATCTGAGTCGGCGGCACGAGCTCCATGTGTTTCAACTGCAAATACTCTCTCATAAAATTATTATAAGACAAGGATAGTCGGGGACTTTCATAATTCGTCTCTCCATTCGAAAGAGACACGACAGGGCTATATCTCTCGAGCATTCAAATCTAGTCTTGGCCGCAAACGGCAACCGGACTACGAACCTGCCCTCCGAGTTTCTTGACGTAGTCTTGACGAAGTAGTCTTCACAAA